AGACAGGTACAGAGTGATGAGTGCATTAGTTGACTGTAGCAACTCAGGTGAATTAGCTTAGCTATGCTTTAAAGATGAGGTGGCAGACACTGCTGAAGTTGTACAAAACACTGCAATTTTACACAACCATTAGTAGTTTTGCTGTTACACTGAAAAAGCCTGAATAAGTCACTTGTAGGTGTTAACAAGTGGTTCAACGTATTATGCTGATGATGCTAAGCTAAGGCTAGCAGTACAAGGTTTGCTGTGCCTCTTAGCTTGTGGCTAATGCTACTCGGCGCACTCTAACATCTTTCAAAAGTGAGACTAACTTTAAGAATCTTCTTTAATATACAGACTCTAGCAGAGACACACCTTTCAAAAACTATACAACAAGCACAACCATCTCCACAAATAAGGACACTGGCTATGCTAACAACTAGCAAGTTAGGAGGCAGCCACAGATTACCCTGAAACAGTGTCTGGAAAACAGAAATGTTTAATCATCAAATGTACATCAGTTCCACATATCAGTGATAGGTCATTCTTTTATTTCCAATAATCTGCATCAGTATTGGCCCTGAAAAAAACCCAAAACACATCAGTTGGTCTGTTGTCTGCACCCCCCCCCACCTGCTGCCTGCACAAGCTTTTTAAAGATCAGCTTGATGAGTTTGATGAGTTTGAGTGGTAGAAAAGAAGTAAGTCAATTTACTCAGGAACTGTACACATGGGAGATACACAGTGAAGGTATAGATTGGTATACTTAGACTGGAAATTTTAGACGAGTTGATGTATTTGAACAGATTTGCCCTGTTTTGTCGAATTACAGAAAATGAGGAATGAGATTAAAACTACATTCTACACTACATTCCACTTATGAAAAACCTGAATAAACCTGTAAGTTATATCCACACAAAACATCAAGTTTTGACTTGTGCACATTTTTACCATAATTAAATGCATCCAAATGATTGTTGTTTGCTGTTTTTTAAAGAAAAGAAAAGAAAATAGTCAAAGTTAGGGTTACTCACTAATGGTTTAGTATTAATAATAAACAGGATGTTTATGTATACTTAATTAGGGTGATCAAACATCTTGTTTTCCCAGCACATGTCCTGTTTTCACGTCCTGTCCTGGCCGTCCTGGTTGTTTCTTATAAAGGGATGAAAATGTCCTGGTCCTGTCCTGGAGGAGGCATACTTTAAATGTACGGAAATTATAAGGCATCTCTGAGTAAACTTTGAGTATCATTTGAGTATCTCATTGCTGGGTCCTGGTTTTCAGTAATCAAAATATTGTCATCCTTGTATATTTACACTGCTGGATTGGTACTTAAGTAAATAATAATAATAATAATAATAATAATAATAATAATAATAATAATAACACATTTTATTTGTAAGCGCTTTTCTTGACACCCAAGGTTGCTTTACAGGAAAACAAATACAACAGAACAGATAAAAACTATACATACAAAGTTAAGGAGTATTTCTTCCACTGTGACCTGTAACAAATTCAAAACATTATACATATGTTAAAACATATTCTGACCTTTAAATTTTGCCTGCTTGACAGGAACAGGAAAATTACAAACACACTTCCCCAGTGTTATCTTAAAAGCTAGCGAGCTAGCATCTTTATAAACACGCGTTTTTGTAGCGTTTTTACATGTGAATTTCCACACATACAGTGTAAGTATATTGCATATGTCCAACATTTTTAAATAACATGTTACATGTGTAAAATATCAGCATGTCACTGCTGTCTGCGACGTCATTTGAAAACGTTGCGAAACCGTCGCTTCCTCTTTGGCGGAGCGGCTGCGTGAACGCGCAGCGCTCTTGAACGCGTCCTGCTCCTCATTGTGCAGCCGAGGAAACATCGGAAGGTTTCGACGACGTCGGTATGAAATGGCAGAAACTGCCTGTGTCACGGAAGCACTAAGATTAGGTTACGTAGAAGATACACATGTATTTTGCGGTGATCCCGGCCTGCTAGTGTGAAGAAAACGACAGTGTATCCGGACCTAACTGGGATTAAAGAGCTGTTTTTCCTCCTACAAACCGCCCAGGTTGTGTCTCCGGCGGCAGGCAGCGAGCGGCGACTGCGGGTCGACACTGTCGGAATTAACCGGAGAGGGGTGAGCTCGACATATGGATCTTTGTGCCTGTGTGACATGTTTGCGGTGTTATTGTCAGCAGCTAAAGGGTGGGGGACGGACAAATTTGGGTCACACACGTTGCTGTAAGTAGGTGTTACACGGTGACCACCACAGCAGGCAGGACAGGTCCGGCCTAAATGGTACAAGGCAGCCAGACTGAGCGGCTACACTGGAGCACACTGCTGTAACCTATCCGTGTCCGAGCTACACACGTTAGCACAGCTCACAGGGTGAAGTGTGCACCGGGTGCTGTTGCCAGTCACACAACTAGTGAAATGTTCCCGTTAAAACGCTGTGACCTCCAGTCTGTGGTCACCTCAAGAAAATACCATCTTTCATGTAAACAGAAATCACTTATTGACGCCTTTGAATACAGCCTGCTTCCAGCTAGCATCAGTTTAATGCCTTTATTTACTGCTGTGGATTTATGTGGCTGAACTCCATTCCTGCACTGGACTCTGACTATAGGTGGGTTTACATTGGGGATTAAACTGTAGCTGCATCTCTGTGAATCCAATGCCAACCCAGTGCAGATGGGATATCAATATCTGGATAATACACAAGACTGCAGTCTTTGTGTGGCTTTAATGCGATGTCTTAATGGCATCACTGACCTGCAGATTGAAAGATGAAGATCCATCTTCACCAGCCACTCAGCCCCTGTCTTAGTCATAACTGAGATAGTTGAAGGAATCAAATGGGAAGTCTAGTAATCTATGAAATGATCCTTGATATTAATAACTTTATCACCTGATCAAAGGGTTTCGCTCAGATTCACAGGTTGCAGCTTGTGTGTTTCCTGGACGAGCAGCTGGCTTATACTACCTAACGTGCTTCTGTAGTCATATTTGGGCTCCCAGACTGCACTGCACATTGCACAGTGAGGTTTTCTGCCAAGAGAACAGCAATGGCCGGCCAAATGCACCAAGAAATCTGATTCCTGCACCAAAAGCAAAAGGTAGCCTCCAGAGATGGGATTTTAAGTCCTGGCTAACACATGATGAGCCCACTTTCATATCTGCGTATTCTGCCAGCAGATATCGACAGATTTTAGGGACATTGCCTTATGAAGATGTGATAATTGTCATTTTTCTGTTGATGTCCAAGTCCCTTTATTGTAAAACTGAATGAACCGTGTGGCTGTGTTTATCTAGGCTCCACTCACAGGTCAGCTCGTAGCACCCACAGGTGTATTACATCGTTTTCCTTGTTGGGTGGAGTGCGTGCTTGATATAAAACGAGTCTACACTGTCGCATGCGCTGCTTATCCTGGTCTGTCGTGGCGGCCGGGACCAGCCCTGTCACAAATACTCCAAACAAAACAGCATGCCACAGTTCAAACAGACACGGGTGAGAGCAAAGACAGTTTCCCTGAGAAAGGATCGCTGCTGTCTCGTGCCTGTGCACACCTTTGGATCGAGTCTGAAATCCTCCTCTGCAAGATGTGACATGTCTCCTGTTGTTTTTCTGTGCTTGTGCAAATATATTTAGTGCATACACCTCGCGTTGCTGTTCAAATACGATTTGTTGAAGATATTCACACCCACTAAAGATATTTGCGCATGCCAAAAAAAAATTGCAATGATCATTTTTTTTTGTCATATCATGCAGGCTTGAAATATATTGCCATTTAAAATGAATTGCTATTCCTGTTGGGCTGGAGGATTCCCTTAACGGGCCTTAAAATCCCATATGTGGATTTAAAATCTAGGAGAAAAAAAAAAGGCTCAGCTGGAACAGAAAACATCAGTGTTTTAATAGCTTTAGAACACATCGTAGTATTTGTTCTCTACAAAATATGCTGCATGTTTCCAGGGATGGATGTATTTACAGGTGTCTGAGGCCGTGCCTTTGCTGTCTCTGTGATTTATAGGATGGTTACGCTTCACTTCACACGGTGTGCAGGGAGGCTGAACGATTTAGGGAAAATATCTATATAACTTGGATTTTTCAGACGGATATCACGATATGATTTGTGATTTTTTTTTTTTAAAGCCAAGTCTTAGTTCAGTATTCACTGTGTGATTTAAAACATCATAAAACATTACCGCATGAGATGTCACACAAAGAGGACAGCATGAAATTGTGAAGCAGCCAGCAGGGGGTGACTTATCTGGTTGCAAAAGGAAGTGGACTCATAATGAAGTCTATGAGAAGCTGACCCTACTTCCCCCTTGATTTGTTGCCTCAGTAAACATTCTCCTAATGAGTTTATTGGACTCAACCACTGGTTTTGAGTGAAATAGATAATTAGGCAGGCTTTAGGGTGGGTCTAATTTGCGGTTGACTAGTCTCCACAGTGCTGTTGTGTGTAGTGTCTTTGCGCTCTCAGTTAGATCCACCCCTTGCTTGTCATGTTTAAATTTGAAAGATCGCAATTGCCAAAATGACAACCTCAAAGCTTTAGTACTGCTGTCCACAAACCAGCGGATGAAGTCACGGTGGCTACATCCATCTTTTTATACAGTCTATGATAAGTCAATATCCATGTACCAGTTGCATTGTTTGTATCAATTTGATTTAGTTGTTTAGCCCTACTTGTGTGGTGTTGGTTTTTTTTTTTCCTTCTGTCTGCCGGCATGAATTTTTGAACTGTGTTAAGATTGAAAGACATTGCATAGTCTAGGCCCACTGAATAAAGAAATGGGGGAAAAAATATGGATTTTGAATGTTGTTTAATTGAACAAATTGCAGAGGAAAGTGCAACCATTTGAACAGATCATTTATTGAAATGAGACACTGTAACTGTAATTGATTCCATGCACAGCGTGAGTAAATAGACTTTCCTTATCAGTTGTGTTTAAGGTAGTTTTTTGCAATGCGTTTCTATTGTGATGATGATTAAAATACAAGTCAATCAGCACAACAAGTCGCACGCTCTCTCATGATCACATTTGAAGCCTTTTGCTTGTGATGAAAACAGACAATCAGCTGATTGCAGGTCTGCATGTGCAATTCTAATAATAACAGAACTGAATACACAGTCAGGTTCTGCGTTTTAGTTCTTGTTTTCTTTTGCTACATTTAATTAATTTTTTTAGACAGTCGCCATTTGTTAGTTGGCGTGAAACATGTTTTGTTTTTGGATTAGTACATTAACTAAGATTGGGCTCGGACTGTATGAAGTTTGTGCCTAAATAGCCTTGACTTGTCGCTGCAGACAGTCAGGAGAGAAATGCGGTTCAGGGACTTTACTGGTACCAATGTTTGGCACAGAATCTGTCCTTGTGAGTTCTTATCAGCAGCGGCTACTTTGGCTGAACGTGAGTGCTTCGCAGATAAAAATCCAGCACTGCTGATGAGCTGGACCACGGCCGTTCAGATGGCTCAGACCTGTTTTTGATATTTGCAAGAATTTCACTGCATTCGGGGTGAATCAGAGCAGACCTGCAGTAGGCAGTGAGAGACAGATCAACTCCCAGGAGACACGGGGTGATGGACAGCTGTGGGGGAGAGGATCTGGACAGGACTGCCAGTTCAAAAGCCATATCTGGCTCTTTTTGACACAGTTATCTGTTCTTTTCTGTCTGGCTGTCAGAGACATTATTTGCCCTCAGCTAGTTTTATTTTCAATGCATGACACTCGCTGTGCCAGTTGTGGTTGGTGGGGAACCTGTGATTCAACTGCAACTTTCACTTTGCATGCATATTACAACAGGTTTATTCAAGGATTATCAGTACTGTAAATCTAAACGACCTTTGACCTCAGAAGGTGGCATGTAGTCAAACACTGCTATTGTCCTGCCTTTTATTTCCATAATGTCTGTGTACAAACACACAGAACACACTAGATTACTGGGGTAGTTCATTCATTTACATATTTATTCGTTTATTTTAATTAGGGCCTGACTGATATGGATTTTTTTAAGGCCGATGTTGATTCCGATATTTGGCAGAAAAAAAAATACCCATAACCGATTGATTTAAAAGATCTATAATGAATAAAATAACTTATTTTTTGGTCCCTTAACACGTACAACAACAAAGATATGAATTACAGGCAGAACATTTGACTATTTTACAATACTTTGTCCTTTAGTATTTGTGTACCTTTACAGCAGAGCGGAATTTTCAAGTACAAAAACATGCAACAAAGCATTAAACCTCTGGGAAATTATATAACCTTAGGAAAGAGCCTTGTACTTCTTGTTGCTGCAAATTAGTTGCTGTTACATCCTGTGTCACGTTATAGTATTTTCTGCTGTTAGCTTGCTGCGACGCAACGAAGCATGTGTCAGTCGTCATGACACATGGCAAAGAGAGTTAAAGTGAAACAGGAGACATGCTGAGTCATTGTTAATGTCACAACGTCATTATGAACTTTTCTGTCAGTAGCTCCGCTCAGCCCACTCCTGTAAAGCTGCCTGGCTGTAGCTTCCTCCTGAACTACTGAGAAGACAGCAGTGAGGACTGAATGGAGTCAGAGCTCCATCTAGTGGACAAACGGCGCAACGACAGCATTCTGCGCAACTGTGACACTTAACAGCGTTTACTCTTTTATGAGAAATTAAGAATATATCCACGTTTAAATGGCAAAACTCTGGCTGATGATGAGCATTTTGAAAAGCTCTAAAATCCGCCCTAATTTTAATGGCGCCTTGCTTGTCGTGCGATTCTCTGCTGAGGCTGATGCAGTCGATAGCCTGACACACTCTGTCAGATCGCTGAGCCCCGTTTTCACACACAGCCACAAATCCTCCAGTCTCACAGGAACCCTCATACTGTATGTGCTGTTCTCTTTTCACATAGGAGACACCGTTATGCCACGCTGCCAGGTGAAGCCTAGCGTCAGTGTATTCTGCTGTGTTTAGATAGACGTACGTGTGCTTGGTTCAGCAGAGCTTAAATCCACATTTACCCCCAAGTGTGCCCTATATTTGATTTGCTAAATGACATTTTGTGAAAAGCATGTCTGAAGTGGCTTACATGTTATTTCTGGTCCCTTTGCAAAAAGACACCTCTGGCAAATGAAGGTGACATTTTTGCTGCTTGCTGGATGAGGCTATAAATATTATGTGAAAGGCGTTTCAGTTATTTTCTGTGAGCGCTGGGAACAAGAGTTAATTAAATTGGATGCAACATTAAACAGATGAATAATATGGAGATATAGGGGCCTGAGAGCGTTTGGTATCCAGGCTGTTATAGAAGTCATAATCGTGCCAATAAATCCTTGCGCGTTAGCTACAGTTGGGTAGTAATCGCATGACAAAACCTTGCTTTGGTCGGTCTAAAGTATGCCTTGGAAGACTTATTATTTCACTCTGAATTTATTCTGGAAAAGAAAATTCTTAGCAAGCAACTCGTGGTATAATCAAACACAGTGACAGAAACAGAAAAAGTACAAAAGCTACATCCCGTGAAAAAATGTGCTGTTTTTCATTGATTTTTTTTTTTTTCTATAGTGATGCTTGATTTTGGGAGGTGTCTGTGCTGTTTGATTTGATTGCGTTGTCATGTCATTTTTATGAAGCAGCAAAGCCGAGCAAGTTTAATGGCATGCAGCCGACATTTTAGGAGGCGATCAGAAAGGGTTCTGGACGAGGACCCATGGAAAACCTACCTGAAGCTGCTGTTTATACATTTATTTTCAAAAAAATAAGAGATTTGATCACCTCATCCGTCATACCTGAGCTGAACTTAATAGACCCGATACCCAAAGAGAACTGAGCAGAGAAAGAAGACAAACACAAGGAAAACCAAAGTGATTAGTTTTTGTGGAGAATAGCGCTAGGTCCATTTGGCTGTTGAAGATACTGGAACTACATTGGAACGAGACCCAGTCCAACGTGACAAAAAATGTCTGCAGACTGATCACATCGCATTAAGTTTGTGAAAAATTTAAAATTAACATGTAAGTTTGCAAAACAGACCCTTGAGTAGAACCCGTGTATGTTACAATGTGATAACTAGCCCCTGTACAGAGATTTAGTGTTATTATATGAGCTACAGTGACATATATGGGTTAGGGATGTCCAAAAACAGCAGCACAACACAGTGCATTGGCAACATAAAGTGACACAACATGCTTCCCGCAACATCAGCCATCGATATGTTTTTCTGTGTTCACTAGCCTGTGGAACTATTACATTTGGTATTTTGTTTACAAGCCACTCTTACTTCAGAATAACTCGCAGTAAGTTGCTAATTTCTGTGGCAAATCTAAACAGGATGACGAACCATCTGGCAAAAATCAGCGTCACGTTGAAGTCTGTGTTTTAAAGTATTGCCTTTACCTGTCCTCAGGGCTGCCCCCTGTTGAGGGCAACAGGGATAAAGGGTAGGTGTAGCAGATTGAACTGGTGTCCATTGAAGCATCTGGTTATGGATGAGGTTAGATGCAGATTAAAGTAAGAGGAATCAAACATTAATCTAACATTGTTGCTGTGCTGCTACGATGGGATGCTGTTGCTGCACAATAACACAGCAAATCATCACACCACCGTCTAATGTGTGGCATTGAGCCGCAGAACAAGATTCAAAGCCAATTTTCCAACCCAGATACCAATGCAGCAAATGTTCTCAGGGTATCACTGATAATAATCAATAAAGATAGTCTCTGAAGTTAACAGATAATACATTTATATGAGCTTCTGGAGCTGCAAGTGTACGAGTGCCGGAGTGTACGTCTTCCTGCCAAACACTGTCAGCGAGCTACTTGCTGTAAGATAAAATAACTGCGTTCAGGCTCTTGTGTGATGTGAACCCTTTATTCATGCTCTGCATCGTGTAGCACAACTGCAGACTGGTGTTGACAAGGTTCTGCACCCGCAGACAGAAGATGATGTTCTGATCAGAGCTGGAGGAAGAAGTAGAAGGGATGAAACACGAGTAGAGAAGAAAGGAGGAGGCACATGTGGAGCTCTATTAAGACGAGGCAGGCAGGGTGGCACTGCTGCACCGTTTGAACCAATAGAAATATCACATTGTGGCATCTGTTGATTTCAGGCGGCTGTGAATCTTAATTTGACATTTCCTTGCTTCTCTTAAAAAGTCAAAGAAACATCCTCAGATGAATAAGTGCATCTCATTCTGAGCTAACAGTTGGTCTGTTCAGTCGTCTTTGTTTGGGAATTTTCCTTGACTTTAGTGTAGCTCAGTGATTCCTGAGCTCGATCAGATTTGAATCAGGTTTAGCTGAGGTTATCTCCACTGCAGCCCTGCAAGGTAGAATTATTAGAAAAGATCGGATGAATCTTACCCAAGGTCAGAAGCATGACTGTAATAGAGAATAAAGCGACGAGGAGAAAGGGCTCGTTGGTTAACCGGTACTGAAAGAAAGGGGTGGGTGGGTTATGCTAACAGTAGTTAGGAGGAACCCAGAGGTCAGGTCGCGGCCCGTGGAACGTACAGCTATCGCCACAAAGCCGACCTCCTCAACACAATGTTCCAAATCCCACTAATGATTTGTCATCTTCATACCCAGCATGAAACCCAGCTTCCTGCTTCCTCTCTGCCTCTGTGTGCCTGGATCACCGCTCCATTGCTCTGACCTTTGGGTTCTGTATGGACTGTATGCACAGCTCTTCTCCGGTATAGGATGGACCTCAGCGGCAGAGCAGCAATTAGAATTGATGAAGCTCTCTGGTTTGATTTTCTGACATTAATTAATTTCTTTCGGTGTTGAATTAAGGCTTTAATTGAGCTGAAGGGAGAGTAAGATAACATTTACACTGTGAGCATGTCTGCACTGCAGTGGGCTTGATCACTACCAGGAACTCAACAGTACTCTTAAAGGAATCTGTGTTTTAGGAAATGCAGATTAAACATTCATTCAAAGAGGTCCCCATGTAACACCAACCCAGTGAGTGTTTAATTAAATTAACCATTTGCTGGCATTAGATATTAATCTGTACAGGACAGCCTGTAGTGTTGCACAGTGTGATGGACAGATGCACTGTCTGAACACTTCTTTAAAGTTTATTACAAGTCATTTTATTCCTCTCAGATTTAGTGCACGTTTTGACAGAATTTTCAGAAAATCTGCCAAAGAAAATGCAAGGTTATGCATGCTCTAAGATAAACATGGGCAGTTTTCCACTCCAGTATTATTACCAGCTGTAGAAGAAGAGGATGCGACAAGGCTGCGTTCAAAATCCCTTTTTCTTTTACTTTAAATGTGTACTATAGCTGCCCTCACAGAGTGTTTACTGTGTAATCTGGGCATACTATTTCAACATAATAATGCGTCTAAAAACTTTGACGGCTGCAATTTGCGATGCGAAACAAGCTCACATCTGTTTGTGTGCTCTCTGTGGATCAAACTTGTTGATACTTGTGCGAGATACCATGACATATGTGTCATAACTGCACAGAGGATTGTGGGTCACAATGGCCAGAAAAGTATGCTGGCTTGCACACTGTAAAAATCTGGCTGGATGTAGTATGACGTCCTGGTATTTTTGTCATACTGCATTTGACTTGGTGTGTATTGGGACATACTAAATCTTTTTACTATATGATGTGGTGGTATAGATGTTGTTAATGTGGACTGAACAAGCGCAAGTCAAGCTTCAAATGGTGAATAACCACATAGAAAGCATGATGGAAATGTGACTTTTCTGATTGTTTCGTGTAATAATTTCAGTGAAATTCTTCTTCACACGGATCTGATGTTTTTTTTGTTTTTTTTTTTACCTCCGTGCTGGCAACAGCTGTGGCTCGAGGCATTATGTTTTTAGGTTGTCCGTCCGTATGTCCCATTCTCATGACGTTTCTGGAAAGCCCTGAGGGAATTTCCCACAAATTTGGCACAACTGTTCACTGGAACCCAGGGATGAGCTGATGAGATTGTGTTGTTCAAAGATCACTGTGTCCCCACAAAACATGTCGTTGGCCATAACTCAAGAATTTATCTGCTAACTGTGACAAAATGTCTCACAAATTCCTTGTAAGATAGCATCGTCAACTTCACTGTGATGTCGTATATTTGTGCGAAAAAACATTTCCTTTCTTTAACACTAAAAATCAATGATGTAAACTGCAACTGGACTGGATCTTGGTGTTAAAATTTAGAATAACTCCAGCAAACTCCAACAGAAAACTTTGTTAAATCGTCAGTTTATTGATGTTTTTCATGTTAAATTCAAAGAGCAGCATGCATCATGTAGTACAGGATAAATCTACTGTGTCTGCTTAATATTTTGCTTTTATAGCTGCACCAACTTTTTGTATGCATTTCCACTGAGTTTGTTTTTTTTAAACATACACAATAGAAAATGTGCATGAAAACAGGAGGATGGAAGCTATTGGCTCTGATTCCAAACAATGGCTGCAGGTAGTGGACATGCAGAACCTGTTTATAGACTTTGCCAGCGGACAGCTACGTCCGACTGATTTCACGCTGGCCTCTAATTGCTGAGAAACACAGATACGGTGTGTCATGTGAGAGACGGTGTGAAGTTTGACACTGCCAGAAGTGAAAACATTCGATTCAAATTGCCTTAATATAATGCTTCATAATGAAAGGTATGATCATGCACGAGTAGCAAATATCCAGTCCAGTTCATGTGCATCTTGTTAGAAAACTGATGGAATCACTTCAACCAAGCAAGTTCTTTTATTAACCTTTTACACAGCAACATTGTGGAACTCTCCAATCTCAGGCCTGAGTGATTTTTTTCACAATCGAATCTGATCGCTTTTTCTCTTCACACTCTGCAGGTCTCGAGAGGCGAGCTGCACTTGGATGCCCAGTCACAGTGTTCGTCCAAGGCGTCACCATGAACCGGAACAAGCGTGAAAAGGAGTACTACAGTATAGATGTGGGAGATTCGACTTTTATGGTTTTAAAGCGCTACCAGAGCCTCAGACCCATCGGATCCGGAGCACAGGGAATTGTCTGGTGAGTGAGATGAACCATGGAAACTAAAAACAAAAACACCCAAGAAAATAGTCATTTGTTGGTCAGCATTGCAGTTTGTCTTGACCTTGGAGACGCCAGTTTGACAAAGTAGCCTTAACTCAATATGTTGCTTCCTTCGTCAGCAGATCAGCATCTTATTTACTTCATGAATATGCAGAATTTGACTTTGCACGCAGAAACTGCTAAACATTTGATGGAAGGTATGAGTGCCGGGCTTTGACTTTGCCAGCTGTTGGCTCTGAAAGTTGATGAGATCAGATGTAAAAAGATCAGTGTAAGCTGCATGCAACACAGAAATGGATGCATAATGTAGTAATTGTTGACAGCGCAGTATGGTGTCGGGTTCCCTTTGAATTTCTGTTGATGGCACAGGGGTGAGTGTTGAAGCGACTTCAGTCAGCTCCGTGTCAGAATGGCTTTCCGTAGACGACGATGATATTCCATCATATCGGCAGTGCGCCACCATTAGCATTGTTTACATATCTGTCGTTCCGCGTGTTGATTGGTTGGACCGTCAAATTTGTGATTACGTGCCAAAGTGGGCATGGTCTGAAATAATTGAGTTCCAGTTCTTGTAACATAAGCTAAGCGTGATGATCTCATCATCGAGATCTCTGCTGTCATTAACCTGCTCTGGTCCTCGTATCCGGGAGGAACACCAAGAAACTGATGCAGCACCCGTCAGACTTCAGTTTGTCATGCGAGGAATTGCTGGCTATGAAATATCAGCATCTGCTGTGCATTGATTTGTGCAGGAAAATGTTTTTTTTATTTTTTTATTTTATCACCAAATTTGTGATAGTTGCATCCCATAAGAGCTGGCTGACCATCTGTCTGCTCTAACACTGTTTTTAAAACAGCAACATATGCTCAATGACTAGAAAAATAGTCACTCAGCATATGTAATGCAATTTAATACAACAACCCTATCATGAATGCTCCTGGTTTATGTGGTGCAGCTCACAATTTCACAGTTTTTAACTCCATTATATTTGTTTCCCTTCGGTTGACTGCTATGGGGCAGCAGGTGGTCTGCATTTTTAAGTCGACAGCGGTACTTCTCTCTGTCAGCTTCTGTTCTGTATGGATGAAAACTGGGTATTTTGTTAATAAGAGTTGTTATTCCTCATCTGCTTTTGGGAATGAAGCGGTGGTCAAAGCCTCTCCTCCTGTGCTTGTTGTGGGGTGCAGCTGTAAAGTTATCAGCAGAAGAGCTGCTGGTGATCCGGTCAGGACTCATTTCCCTGACTGCCATCAACCACGGGTACCAGATTCAGGTTTGGGTGCATTTAAAAAAAAAAAAAAAAAAAAGCAGATATCATAACCTGACTTTAAGATGTGAGTGGTCGACGTGTTAGTGGTCCCATACATGTTCCTATCAAATGATTGCATTTGCTGTAATCTGGGTTACTGTTCAGTAGGTTACTCGCATCAAGTTGCCGGACTGTTTTCCCTTCAGCAGATGATAATCGTGATCATTGTTGACGTCTACCTAGTGTTTTTGGTTGTAATCATTGTGCTGACATCATCAGATGAATGTAAAGATTCTCGTTTTTATGCATCACGCTCAATATCAAGCATCTGTGGCACAAAATAATACAGTGTTGTTAGTAAAGAGATAAGACTAAGAGCCGTCCTCATCTTGTAAAAAAAAACAGACCTGGCTTTCCAAATTAACAGATCATTAGTGTTATTTTTGAGGGAGCCTTGGTGAAGGTTCTCTCCCGTTTTGTCAGTGTATTTTATTTTATTTCATTGTCAGAGTTTCCCACACTGGTACGACAAACTCGCAAAGTTTCGTGACTCACAGCTCCGTGTGAAACTCTCCTTCTGCCATCAGTCCGACTGATTCACCGTGTTGCAAAATATCGGCTTCATTGATTTAAAGCCTCCGAGGTACAAACTTGTGAAAGTCTTTTGCAGGATTAGTGAACTACAACTCCCAAGGTGCATTTTGGCAAGAAGCCTCGCTGAGCTGAAACTTCAGATCCATTAATTGTGGGTTAGAGTTAACGAGAAAAACTAAAAACTGGAAGCATTTAGAATTCCCTGCTGTTCTGATTCATGCCTTTGACTGCCTTCTCTTCCGTATTAACTGCACCAGAGGCTCATGGGTATTGTAGTATTTCGACCCGTTCGCCATGCCAGAATGACAGACGAAACGCAGTTTGTCAGAAACAAAGCTGAAATGATTAAAACCTCCAACAGAAACTGAATTAATGTTGGAGGATTCTGTATTTCTGTGTTCAGAAACATTGAGGATATTATTTAAAGACAAAATTGAAATGGGAAAACAGAATGTAAAAAAAAAAAAGAAACACTTGGGGAATGAGCACACATGCCAACTTTCAAACTCCACAACCAGATGTTACAGGAACATATACTTGCTATAAACATTGCGGGAAGGCCTCTGATGATAGACGTATTTCTGCTCTCTGAGAATATTAATTGTCATGTTGTCCAGCTGTAGTTCCAAAAAACAAAAATTAGAACAGCCTTCTCTCCTGCTGGACGAATTAAGGAGACTGCGGTGCCAGTTTTTTTTTTTTTTTTTGGCTGAGCTGCTCCAAAACATGCTCGTTGAGATGGGTCCTTGTTATTTTACTGTCTGTCACGTTGCAAACAACCACTGGTAAGTCATATAAAGGGTTAAACTATCTTGAGTTCCATCGAAATGTCCCCAAAAAGGAATCCTTGCAGGCCTTAGGGAAGCAGCAGAAGACACACTTTTCAGACGTGCATTACTGTCGACTGATTTTCTGCTTTCGTTCTTCACCGCAGTTCAGCGTACGACCACAACTTGGAGAGGAACGTCGCCATCAAGAAGCTGAGCCGGCCCTTTCAGAATCAAACCCATGCGAAACGGGCCTACAGAGAACTGGTGCTCATGAAATGTGTCAACCACAAGAACGTAAGAGAGAGAAGTTATTTATTTAATTTTCTATTGCTTCGAATGTTTCTGTGTATCAATCAGCAGTAGAGGTGACGGGCTTTTAGCTGAGACACCTTTACTGTCTGTGTATGAATGTGTTTCCCACGGATACAAGCTGAAACCTGGCTTTAAATACACAAAGGGAAGAAGTAGAAGTGTGGCAAACAAGCACACGGGAGCAGAGAACTCCCTGTGGAAACCAGAGGAGACATTTGGATGGAGCAGCACTTGCCTTGAGGAAAGCTCTGGAAAATGTTAACTGTGTTTAGTCTATACATCTATTTGAAGGTCATTCTTGTGCCTGTGCATCCTTTTTTTTAAATTGTGCTGCATCTTTCAGCATTGCAAGTGATTAAAGACTTACATGTGGTCATATTCCAAGTGATGTAAAGCAGAGTAAGTAGTGACTCAGAAAACACTATTTCCCTGATCTCTTGGAGGTTCACATATGGTGCAGCAACAAGGGCTGCGAACCAGACGTGTAGACAAATGGGAATATTCTGAGTCGCCACAACGCTTCTCCCCGCTGCTGCGCGGTGTTTTTGTGTTGTGTTGCGAATTAGAAAATGTCCCGCTGTTATTCATAATTGATGCTCAGGCTGCCGCAGCCTGAGCCTTTCAGATGAGCAGTCGGCCCCGCTGGTTTCACGGACGCAGAGGTGCAAATGTCGTCACTCGCTTCAAACCGCTTCACCTCAATAAGTGTGCTTTCTGTTTCGACAGATCATCGGCCTATTAAACGTATTCACACCACAGAAGACACTGGAAGAATTCCAAGACGTGTGAGTATTACGGAGTCAAATAACAGCTGCTCAGATCAATCCAGGATGTAACATGCTGGGGGCTCAGAAGATCTGTTCTGACTTTTAGGGGCTTGTGCAGATTAGCTGGATCTCTGGTTAATGTTTTATCACGCTTCGCTTTGAGTACATACCACAGGGAGTCGAAATATTTAGAACAGTTTCTACAAACTAGATGCAGTCAGTGGGTTATTAGGTAGCAATATTTCATCCTAAAATAACTGATGACGGTAAAACCAATAAAAGATCATATTTGGTACAAAACATGGATAAAACCAACAACAGGTCATCCTTAGTTTTGGTTGTTTGTACACTCTGACTTTAATAAACTGTACATTTGTGTGAACTCTGCTTTAATAAGAGCAACATCGGGGTATATTTAGAAGAGTCCTCGATGTATTTCGAAGTCGACAAGATGTCCATGTGAGTGGAAACTGGCTGTAAAATCACAGGGGGGAATACTAGGCCGAAATGTGGGGGAAGTGATGCTTTCGCAGAGTATGACGGGAACAAACATGATTAATGCCATCCTCTAGAAGCCCAGAGTGTGAGTGTGTGTGTGTGTGTGTGTGTGTGAGAGAGAAAGTGAATGTGTGTGTGTGTGCACTGCTCTGTCTGCCTGATTGGAGCTAAAAAGGAAACTGGACAAATCATAGCCAGAGGGTTGCAGAGCTAAGACACAGTTAGAGGATGAAGGCGAACACTCCATTTGCCTGTGCGTTTGAATGCGTCCTTGCATTGCAGTGTGCTGTACGAATTTCTGAAAATACAGATTCCAGCATTTGTAGATGTGCATTTCCACTCAGCCTGGCACAAAAGTGTTTGAGTTTTACCCATTTTCACTTTCCTACATAGTGTATTAAACTGTAGAGTGTAAACAGACGTTTTCCAAGCACAAGTTCCACTTTTGACAGCGTACAAGTGCACGCTGTGTCACCAAGATGTTGCTTCTTGTAAAGAAAAGAACTCTTGTCAGAGGTTCCTTACTCCACGTAGGAGGTTAGAAGCAACTGATGATATAACAGCTGCCAGATAACATAACATCATCATTATTTGGGAGAGGAAGAACCCTTACTGTCACTTCCCAAATGCCAGGTAAAATAAGTGCTGCGTGGGCGATGAGATAACAAAACAAACTGAAACTTCACATTCGTATCGGCTTGTAGTAAATGTATACGTACGCTTAAGTGACATTTTTGAAAACATGGAGCCTCACATGTGGAATATTCCTTTATTGTGTAAAGTCCCTGTTAAAACCAACATATGAGAGTGTTTGTATTTAACTTGTGTCACCTCCCTGCAGGTATCTAGTGATGGAGCTGATGGATGCCAACCTCTGTCAGGTGATTCAGATGGAGCTGGACCACGAGAGGCTGTCATACCTGCTCTACCAGATGCTGTGTGGAATCAAACACCTGCACGCTGCAGGCATCATACACAGGGTTAGTCATACCATCATACATACACACACACGCACCACCAGGAGCATTTATTAAATATTGTGAGCATGCACGCAAGTTCAAAATGATACGCAACACATTACATTAACCGTTTTGTAACTTTGCAACCCTGGCATTTAAAGCCAGAATAAGGCATTTGAACACAAACATATACAGTCGTCCTCATATGTATTCATACTCTTCCATTAAAGAAAAGGCAAAATTCACAATAGTCACTCAAATAACTAGAAACTGAAAAAAAATAAATAAATTGTCCTGGACAAATTAGAGCACTTTGCTGATGAGCAGTGGGCCAAAATCCAAATACCTGTCAACAGGTGCAGAAGTCTGATTGAGAGTTACAGAAAATACTTGATTGCAGTGATTGACTCAAAGGGTTGTTCAACAAAATATTGGTTTACGGGTCCCATCATGCTTGTTTGCTCATTTTTAATTTATTTATTTATTTATTTATTAATATTTCTGTTGAACCACAATTCAAAAGCAATGTCATGATTATTATTACTTTTGTCAATTTCAACTTATTTCAGTGACTGCTGTTTTTGTCCTTCTTTAATGTGAGGTTATGAATACATTTAAGGACGACTGTAATGTCTTAAAAGTTTATATCTTGGAGTTAACAGGCTAGTTTGGTGTTCTTGGTGTGTGGAACTGCATACATATTACACAAGTAAATACTGGAAGCTATTTCCATTAGTGGTATTCAGCGCGGTTTGGGAAAATTCCCAGCAGGTTTATAAAACCACCATGAAAACAATTACCTGGCAGCTAAACACTGTGATGTGGTGCTTTTACATAGAAATCTGTGTGAAGACATTACATAGTTGTACCATATCAATTTTACGTACTGAGACCCATAATTGCTCGTGTCCTCTGCGGTACATGGATCTTTTGAGGCATCTGCCATTTTTTCCAAAATTTCTTGAGCTGAGAAATGGCTGTAATTTGACGTATGTCATCATGATGGAAATTTTTGGCATGATGGAATTTTTTAAATTCATGACGTGCTACCTACTGCTTAAATTCTTTACTTTATCTACTCCTGACATACTGGATACAAGTCATAGAGTACCATTTTGAACAGACCCTCATGTGAGAAAATCACACTTGTTTTTGGCCAGGCAGGTAAAACTTCTTGAGGTCGGGGTGCCGTTATAGCTCAACTGGTTGAGCTGGCATCCCATGTTCAGGGGCTGTAGTCACTGACGCAGAGGTCATGGGTTCAAGTCCCGCTCATGGCCCTTCCCTGCAGGTCCTTCCCCCATTCTTCTCCCCCACTTTCCTGTCTTTCTCTTGACTTTCCAATCAAATAAAGGTAAAAAGGCCAAAAATAATTACTTAAAAAAAATAAGAGACTTCCTGTGGTTTCTGCTAGTTGTCTGTCTACCTCACAGTGGTGATAAGACTTCAGGTAGTTGCTGATCTTGTCCAACATAAAACGAGCACTAAAATTTGTGTAAAACCATAGTTTACACTTCAGTTTCTGTAACAAGTACGCTTAGAGAATAACGGTGATCTTCAGAGGTGCTGGTAGATGGATTTGGTAAAGCTGTTTTCCCCCTGCGTCTAGTTTATATGCGACGCTAAGCTTCATGGGTGCTGCTGGTAGCTTATTATTTAGCTTACAAACATGAAAGTAGAATCTTCTCAGCTCACTCTCAGCATGAAATGTCAAACGACTGATAGAATCTCATTTCATTTGCATTTACTGACACTTTTATAACATAAAAAAACCCCACCAAACAGAAACAGGTTGCTGCGGAGATGATGTACACATAGAAGTAACACACACACACACACTCATTCATGTACTCGTGTTCACCTGGAAACAACAGACACGGGATGACAAGACACCACCCTGGAGCATCAGCGGCAGCACACCAACGATCTCTCTTGTGTGTGTGTGTGTATATACGCAAACACACTGAGTTACGAAGACACACACTGTCAGCACTCTGTCAATCACACTCAGCGAAATACGCAGCAGTAAATTAGCAGAGCTCCTCTTGCTCCGCCAGCCAGAACTAATTGAGCCACAGGCGGAGTTAACCGGCCTCGCTCGCATCGGCACGGCTCGGCACGCAAAGCTTTCATAAGGTGGACAGATAGAACATGAGTCATGGATAGACTCTGCTCTCTTGTTTTTGTGAACATTGTCTTGATGATTAAAGCCCTCTTGTTTAATTTAGCACTCACTCTAGGAAACCTTTTCTCATCTATTAAGACGGTGACTGCTTAAACCCTACAGCTGGACGCTCTTATGATTAACGTGGTAAAGATTTCCAGAAATCAGTGTTGGAGTGTAAGCAACCTCTGGACAAAGTTGAATTTTTTGATATAATCGGCTGTAGATGCTGTTGTGGTCGGTGTATGATCACTATGATGAGAAAACGCATGGCTTGGAAAATACTGATGAAATATCCAGTTTGCAAGTATTTAAATTATTCTGAAAAAACAATCGGCCAGCCCAAAAATGTCGTCGTTGGAAGATTAACAGCAATAAATCAACTGGCATATGGCCGTTTGTAGATTGTAGCCTCGGGCAATGAGCCTTGACGACAGGATACCTTATGGGTCGGAAACATGAAGAGCTGCAGAGATAACACCAGTTTAGTTTGTTAAGATTAGCCTGAGAAGAGGGGAAGCAGTGTCCCTCCAAGTGAAACTATTTCAAAGGTTCTTTGTTTTTTTTCGGCGGTGGTGATTGACATGAGGCGCTGCAGAACATAATGCAGCACTGATATGAGAACACTGAAGTCAGGGAACAGATAAACAAGTAGAAAATAGTCCGACCAAACAAAACAAAGACTTTGTGGTTACTGCGATACATCATCTCTGTTGGTATCATGCTGTACTAGAGTGATTGATCGCCTCTTCTTAGGGAAACAAGATCGGATATCCGAGCTGCATTACACCAGCTGCACTGTTTACCATATATAGAGTTTTTTTTAAGGGATATTTGCTCCCTGCTCAAAAATTTCTTCTTTTCAAAAAACAAAAATATCAGTTCCTTGTTCACACTTGGAAAAACGCCTCGCGTAACTATGACTGAGTTTTTCTTTTAACTCATGTATGCAACACCACCCCCACACACAACATTTAGACATTGTTAACTGTTATATGTGTGTCTCAGTCACCTTTTTTTCTGTTTTCTTTGCAGGACCTGAAGCCCAGTAACATCGTGGTGAAGTCTGACTGCACGCTGAAGATCCTGGACTTCGGCCTGGCCAGGACGGCCGCCACCGGTCTCCTCATGACGCCCTACGTGGTGACCCGCTACTACCGCGCCCCCGAAGTCATCCTGGGCATGGGCTACCAAGCCAACGGTGAGTGGAGGAAGCAGCTTCTTGACAGCAAACCGGCCAATGAGGAGCTGCTGCCTGGCCTGCTGCATGGCCCTCACCCCCCCTGAGATGTTTCAAGATCACTTCCCGAACACACTCTCTCTCACACACACACACACTCTCTCCCTGTTCCGGTAAAGGTTACACTCAGGGGGGAAGTTGGCATGTGGGGGCATCGGTGCTTTGTGGAGGATCTTCCTGTCTGCGGACTCCAGCGCCCAGCAGTGCTTTAGCATGTGTTTGATGTTTTATTAAGAGGTCGCCTGTCCTGAGCTCAATACAGCCTGGCTAAAATAACGCCAGTATGAATACAGCCACTTGTGCATGCTTCAGCAGTTTCACTTCGCGCTCCTGCTTGGAACTAATCACAGTTTCTGCAAGACGGTCTTAAAGGAATTAGTTTAACATATAGAGAGGTAAATTCCTGTCCCTTCCGGTGTGTCCCGTGGGACCATATCTGGATTAAAAGCCGCGCAGTCGTCAACAATAGGAATTAAGAGTTGTGGCGTGAATTACACATACAATGCTTGTCGAGTTAGAAACTAATTTTGCAAGTCAGGAAAGTCACAGTTTGTCATTAAGATGGTAAAGTGTAATTCATTTTTGTGTGAAACTGACCAGTCAACTATATCTTTTGTCTCGCACAATACACTAACACTTCCCAGATGAAACGTTTTCTGATGGTGAAAATCTGAAAATGTCTAAAATTCTCATAAATTCTGCCAAAAATATTTTACAGAACTAAATTTTCAGCCCAAACAACCAGTAAAAAGTGCATGAATTCTGTCTGAATTGACACGGACTGAGTACCATCTGAGGCAGGGGATCAAGACCATTATCTGAAATGCTACGTTCGCCTGCTGTGCTCGGCAAACCTAAGGAATATTCACAGTGACGCAGCGTTTACAGAGCAATCTATAACCAGCTGCTATATCCTGTAAATAGTGCTCAGTCACATCCACGAGAGCCCGTCTAGTCTTTGTGTGTTTAATATGAGAGCCGTTGCGTCCATCTATGTAGGAAACCATTGCGTACGTACTGTGGTATAAATTGAACCCTGTGACATCCGCTGTGCTCTTTCAAAGTCCTCATCAATCATTTTGAAACCATGAATTGGTCTTTATATTTCAACGGTTTTAGGGCAAACTGTGCCTTTCAGGACTTAATAGCACAATTCAGATAGGATCAGAAAATGACTTGTCTTTTGTGTGGACTTGTGTAGATGTATTATCTTTCAAGACAAGGTCCCATGGGACACGACGATGGGGGACTTCACTTCTCTGCGGGACACTGAAATAGGGAAATAAAATGCTTATTCATACCACTCTCATATCTGTCCATTTGAAGCCAGAATATGTTTAGCTTAGTTTGGCATAAAGACTGGTATCAGCTGCTGACTTTGAGCAGAGCCAGGCTAGCTGGTTGCTAAGCTCAGCTAACCATCTCCTGACTATAGTTTCATATTAAGTGCATAGACATGAAAATGGTATCAGTTTTTCCATCTGAATCTCATCAAGAAAGCTAATAGTTCTAGAAGAAATATTGATGGAGGTGTGACTTAGCAAATAGTTGGACTTTTACATATAAAATCACACTCAACAGCCATTTAAGCGAACCTTTATTATCGTTTTTTGGGGGAGGGGGGGTTTAAAGTTTACAGAGAATACCTTTTCCCTGTGGCACCGGCATCATGAGTTGGATACAATACTAATGCTCTCTCACCGTTAGCCCTCTTCACCAAAAACATTGACCCTAATTTTTCCTGCTGACTTGTTGCATTTTTTTTGCTTATTCTCTTCTCCCTCCTTTTATGCTGCGCGTATGTAGTGGATATTTGGGCTGTGGGCTGCATTATGGCAGAAATGGTTCGCCACAAAATCCTTTTTCCAGGAAGGGATTGTATCCTTGAGCTGCTTGCAGCAGTGTCTGGCATTTCTTGTGAAACAAACCTAGCACAAAAAAAAAAAAACAAGCCTTTAGTATTTTTTTTTTTTCTATCTTTTTTTTTTTTTTTTTCATCAAAATGGATCGCAACTATAGAAATTCTATTTCTCGAATTTGCCTGACACCTCGACTTGCAACCACCCACCTGCTCTTCCTACAGATACACAAACACACACAAGCAACTCGGCCCTCGCTCACCCGAGCAAGCAGCGCTGTTGCTTCGAGCACCGTGACTGCCACACGAAAAACCTGAAATAGAATTTAATAGTTTGCTTTTCCATAGCTGAGAACTGAAGTGCAAAAAAGAAAAAAAAACACCTTCATCTGTCCTCTAACTGCCTCACGTATGTCTTTGTAGATGCAGCACACCAAAAAAATGAATTCTTAAGTTTTGCTCCGCTGTGTTGTGCTGAATAAATTGATGCCCAGTGACACAAAGTGAAGCTCTTAATCTGCAATGTCACACATGACGGTGTGACAGAGAGCTCAAAAAATAATGGCTTTCTGTCCTTATGGATGAGAGTATTTCACTTTTACATGTTGGACGTGTTTTGCAGTGAGGACAGAGGGTGTTGGAATGCAATTCTGCAAAAAAAAAAAAAAAAAAAGTCAGTCTCAGAAGACCTTGAAAGTCAGTGTCTCACTTTTCAAAGCTTGCGACATTTAAAGCATAAATAATATTTCTTCTAAACATTCTTGCACAATTATACAGTATTATACATTTATGCCAGAGGGAAAAATAAGAAAAGGCCAGTGGGACGCTGACCCAGGTATGCGAGTGCACTCAACTGCATGCAAATCATTTAATGTCATGTATCACACACTTCACCCTGCACGAGCATCATGTTTATTTTCGTTTTAAGTTACCTTTTAATTATGAGTTTTGTCTGTTTTTATTTTGTCTTTTTTTCCTTATTGTTTCTTTTTGTTTTTCGGTCCTGCATGCTAATTTGGTGGTTGTCATTTCATTTTTCAGTTGATGTCTGGTCTGTTGGCTGCATCATGGCTGAAATGGTCCGGGGTAGTGTGTTGTTTCCAGGCACTGATCGTATCCTTAAGTTGAACCTCCATCCAAACCCCTCAGAATACTGTGTTGTCTCGTCCTTTTGTCTGACGTCTTGTTCATATCTTTGCACACAAAAGGAAAACCTACCAAGCTCCTGCGTCGTCCGTTTAATGACGTCTTTGTGTTCAGTGTCGACGTTCATCCCGTGCAGAGGCAGACTTGAAGAGGAATAAACCTTTTTCATGGCAAACGCTTAATGCAGGTGGAGTACAGGTGGAATTGCACCAGTCAGCTCTCCCGCTGCTAAAACAGCTTTGGCCTCTCATGGCCTAGACTGGCGCCATGAAGGGGTGCATGTGATCTGCAGCAGTGTTTTGTAAGGTGGAACATGTAAAAGTTAAATCTACATGAATGCCAGGACCCAAGGTTTCCCTGCAGAACATCGCCCAGAGCATCACATGGCCTCTGGCTTTCCTCAGCGCATCCTGCAGCATCTCTTCTCCAGATAAAATAAGGTTTTCAGCAGTTGGTGCTACAGTAGCTCTTCTTTGGGATCAGACCACACAGAACAGCCTTTGCTCCCCACGTGCATCATTTGGCCTTGGGCTGGGATGACGCTGTCACTGGTTCACTGGTTGTCCTCCTGCTATACCTGCTATTTTAGAGATGCTCTGACCCGGTCGTCTGGCTGTCACCATTTGGTAGTTGTCAAAGTTGCTTCGATCCTTTCGGCTGCTTCCAACACATCAATTTCAAATGAGATAATCAGTGTTATTTAAATCACCTGTCAGTGGTCTTAATGTTGTGGCTGATCAGTGTTAGTAACAACAACAACATGGTTTTATTCCATTTAGGTGACCCAGTAAGCCACACTAGAGGGCTGTAGCACAGTTACCACAGGTATTGTGCTGGACTCTATTAGCGAACCAGTTGGTTGATCAGTGTAAATATCAAGCCCCACATCATTATGACCAAAATGAGCAATCTTGCATGTAAACACCTTGTACACATTGTCATTAGCACCCAAGCAACACTTAGTTTGTGTCCCGTTCCCCTGAATTCAAAACAATGCCGTAGAGTTTGTAAAACAGTTGCCAAAGTTTGTGAGTGTTTTAGGAAACGACCTACATTTCATTTTCAAATAGTCTTGGTTATTCTGAAAACAGAAGTATGCTAATGTGCATGTGTGGTTTTTCTTGCAGTTTTGTTTTTTTGCGTTTGCCATGAAAATAGAAAACGTGTGTACATTTTTATCATTACAGAGCTGCTTTATTTACAGTTAAAGTTGGTTTGTGAATTTTCCTGTCCAAAGTTATTTTTCTTAAGTAGGTCAATTTGTGTACGCTACAGTGAGGCTGCTCTTGTATTTTTTATCATGCCGAGTATGTTCTAAGTATTAGCTTTTAAGTCTTGTGGTCTCCAGTAATATTTAGGAGTTTTTGGGCCCTGAAACTTATTTATTACCTGGCATTACATGCTACGTGTTCTTAGCCATTTACTGTGGTTAGCTCAGGCTAACATAGCATTAGCTTGGTAAGCTAAAGCCTTACTGGGTGCTTGACTTTGAGAGAGGCGACACCAATGGAGGGAAACTAAATACAAGGAAACATGTTTTCAAAAGTTTAATGAAAGTAATCTGGCAACAATTCTCAGTGGAAAAATGCTAATGATACAGAGGCTAGGTTGTAAATGTGAAAGTTTAGCAAAGACTCACTGTGATTTTGCAAATGTTACCGTTTACGATTGTGTTACTACTACAGTTTTTATCTGAATGGTCAAGTCGGCATTAAACGTGATTTTATTATTTTTATTATTCATTATTCAATAAGGTGACGGGCTTAAAGGCCCAGTTTGAAACCTCCCAAACTGGTGACCATTGTGGCCGTCCCACAATGATATCAACCCTTTGATGTTTATGAGTTAAAATGATTGTCACAGAAGCGCTCGGAGCAGTGGATGCTGTTGCCATGAAATGCGTAACATTCTAGCTCTTGACGCTAATGTTAGCTACAAATCGTAAAACTGAAGAAAATCTCTAGTTCTTGCTGGAAATCAGACAAATTGTGTTGACCAAATCTCCCCGACCACGGTCCCATCCGGTTAGATTTGTTTAGCCGTCTCCTTTTGTTTTTTCACACTGCAAAGTTTTACTAATTTTACAGCACAGTCTTCATTTTGTCCTCTTGAGATCACGTCAGGTGACGTACTGCCACCATAATCTCAATCGGACCATGTAGAGTGATGCACCATTATTTTCAAGTCTCGTAGTGTGAGCATGTCTGAGATTAGAGGATATCTATGATGGTTGCAACCCAACTTGAAAATCTGTCAGGATTTTAAAACCCCTGTGGTCTGAGCTTGGCCTTAGAGATATTTTTCAAGCTGATCAAAGGAAATAAGCCAGTTTTAGAGCTTTTATTTCTGAAAATCGACTTACGTTCACTTGAGCAGCTGTTTGGTGACACTTGAAGGGGCTAGGCTTCTCCTGCTTGGTGTTCATTCATTGTAAAGGATGAACAAAGATGTGAACAAGCATTTCTGTGTGTGCTACATCCGTATTTATGTTTGTGTTTTGTCCTCGTGGAAACAAAGAACATCTTGTGTATGTATTTCCAGCATCTGGACTTGAAGGTGAGCTTCGCCAATCTCACCTAACATGCAGTAATGTACAGTGCAGATGTTTGACATTGCAACACAGTTTAAAGTGTATTTATCCCACTCAGCTCATCCGGACTGCTTTCCACAAGATTATGTGATGATTTCTTTCTTAGTAAACTGCCAATACTGCTCACCAAAACCCTTCACTGGAGCTGTCTGTAAACTTACATTTTTTTGATATTTCTTCACCAAAGTTCAGTCTACAATCTTTACGCAGCACTTTTCTACATCCCTTGCAGAGTCATAGATTTGACATTTTCATCGTCAGCATAGTTCCACAAGTATTTTAGGAACATGTCCGAACCAGATCGGTGCAGCACATAGACACAGCAACCCCGTCAGTTTGAATATTTCTCAACAAAACCCACCCGACTCTCCAACGGCTCTTCCTTTTGTCCAAATCCAGCCCAATGCGTTTCTTAACACTGTAACCACTAAGATATCGACCAGTGGAATAAGGTGATCGAGCAGCTGGGGACGCCGTCTCAGGAGTTCCTGATGAAGCTCAACCAGTCGGTGAGGACCTACGTGGAGAACCGGCCGCGGTACGCCGGCTACAGCTTCGAGAAGCTCTTCCCCGACGTCCTGTTTCCTGCAGACTCTGAACACAACAAACTGAAAGGTAAGGATGCTGTTCTCTTGTAAATGTAGTGGCTGCTAAGAGTTAAAACCATGTGGGTGCGTAGTTGCTGTGTAACAGGTGCAGCGATTGCTCAGGCTGAAGTGGAACCATTTGGAAAATTCAAATTACTGTTTTATCTCGTGCCAGAAGGTGCAGGGAATAATGAGGGTTTTTAGAGCTACAAGATTTATGCTACAATATGCTTCAATTTTACTGCTTGAAATTTGAACAAAAGACTGTTTTAAAGTTCTTTTTTTTTCTTTTGCTAATGTCGAATTTATCACCAATGACTTTTTAAATCGCTGTGTTTGTAATTGGAGGATTAATATAATGGGTCCACGGTGGCTCGGTGAGCAGGCATCCCAGCACTTCCAAAGCAGAAACATGAACTTTTCCTCCTCCATCATAAGTTTGCGTTGTAATGCATTTGCGCCGTAACAAACATCCGCTGACAGCAAGAGCCCCAGTGACAAATCAATTTTCGGTGGCAGCCTTAGATTAAGCACTTATTACAGAACCTGACAGTTCATGACCAAGTTGTTTACTGTGACGGAATTTACCTCAAGCGTGTCTACATGTGTAAATGGAGAGGAGATGACAGGAACACTGGAAGCAAGATCCACGGAGCTGTTGCAAGATGTCGGAGGGAAGGAAAAAAAAAAAGAAGTAGCTCATCTTTTTCTGTCCTCATTAATTTGCAGAGGTAGGAATATGTGACGACAGCGTGTTCCCCTCAAGTTCTTTGGTTAAACTGCGTCTGTCAATGTTCACATGTCGCTCTGAAAGCTCCGGCTGAGGTTTCATACAGACCGTGTGATAATCAAGGTGGATGTTCTTGGCAAACTGAAACAGAGACAAAAACAGAAACATGTTTGCTGTTTAGAAGGCGAACACCCTGGTGAGTGTTTGACCTCAAATAGCTCTGAGGAGCAGTGTTTTTACAAGTTGCTCTACGTTTAGTTTTATCTTGCGCACAAACACACAAAACTCAAGGATATAAACACAACTTTGTTGACAAGAAACCACCACAGGGTACTTTTAAATCAACTCCCATTACTTTCTGCAAAAATGCACCCTTATTAGTGACATCAGGGATCCAGACTAACTTTTATATTGGTTTCTTTTCTGCTTTCCAACTTTCTCATTTGGATGCACAAGCACATCATTTAGGAGAACCCAAAGTATTTCCTCCAGCCTTGTGGTGCAGAATATTACATTTAAAGTTTGTCAGTTGACATACACTTTGGTCATTTCTTAACACATTATGTAAATGACTGTAAACAGGAATAAAAGTGCAGAGAAATACTTTGACCTGTTTCTTGCTGGAAGAATATCATCATTTTTGACCTCTCACTGCTTCAGTTTTCTGCCACCCGACGCTTGAACTCTGCAGGGAGGGAGGCTGCTCTGTTGGCCACACGGATGAGTTTCTTAGAGACGAGGCGTTTTGTTCATGTTGCAATTCAGAACATTGAGTATACGACAACAAGAGCACTGTTCCAGTCGTGCTTTGGCTGCACTCTTCACAATTAAGGCAAAACAAATTGTTGGCTGTTTCATTATCTCGGTGTTTCCCACAGGAGAAAAATGTACTTGTGGTGGTGGGTGGGCCAGTGTGACCGATATACATACAGAGACGCGTGCAGTTTCGAAGGGAAGGGTGTTTTCTGAAGCTATAATTTACAGATGTCCTCTCAACGTCTTTAGATGCAGACTGTTGGTAGCTGCTACAATTTACCAATGTTCCTTGAATGCTTCACATGCACACTGTAGGTAGCCTTTGTTTCCTCAACACCTCACATGTAGCCTCTGTAGACTGTAGCTAGGCAGTGAGAGAAGCCTCTAGTCCCCATTTAGATATGTGGGTAAGGCAGTCTAATGTTATGTTTGCCCAAATTGAAACCGATTGATGTACTTTATCTGGATGGGCCACCCAGAGACACCCTGCTACATGTCAGGTGCAACCAGTGAAAATGTTTTGTCACATTGACGTCATCCGGTAGAGAAGTTCCAACAAATCAAACTATTTTTCTTTTCCCACATTACTTTAAACTTAGATTTTTTCCCTTCACTGATACTCCACACATTCACACCTCAGCGTGGTCTCTCCCTGCTTTATGTTTCGATCCAACATCCTTAGTACAGCAAGATGCTTTGGTTGGTTCAATCTAAAAATTTCTACCATTGACATTTTCTTTTTCTTCACAATTTCCTCTCAGCGAGCCAAGCCCGAGACCTACTATCCAAGATGCTGGTAATAGATGCGTCAAAGCGGATCTCGGTGGACGAGGCTCTCCAGCACCCCTATATCAACGTGTGGTACGACCCGACTGAAGTGGAGGCAGTAAGTGCTTGGTTTCAAAATCGGTTCAGGGCTTTTACTGTGCACTGGTGAAGGAGATTTCTTTGTGAGATGTTGTTGAACCTTCAGGGGAAATGTTCTGATAATCCCAGTAATACAAGTGGAATTGTAATGTTGCACACCTTTTAAATACCCTGTTCAGACGTGACAGAAGCCCCTGTCTCAAAAACAAAACGTTCTATTTAGGTCTCAAGATGACAAACCGCAAAATGTGTATTTGTGCTGTAATGTCCTCAGCTCTCAGAGGGTCCGAGAATGTCTCTAAAACTTGAGACTTGATGTTTGGTGACAAACATGAAGTCTCTCCTTGGAAACACAATGACTCAGCCAGTGCAAATTGATTTCTGCCTGCGATCGGGCGGATTGGGAAATGAGGCGAATTGCTGCTCTCTTCCCTCCCCTCTGCTCTGTGGCACGAAAGGATTCCTCAGAACTGACAGTGGAGCCTCGAAGCCTTGAAAAGTGCAGATTTGTACACAGATTGCGCTCTGACTCGACGCAAATGCATCAAATCTCAGAGCGTCTCCGAGGAGGATGGATAACTGTAAGTCATGACTGGCTTCGAGGCAGTAAATTCTGCCCGTGCAATTAGAATTTAGTAGTTTGCGGTACGTTCCTGGAAAGGTTTGTGCTTTTCAAAGCAGAAAAATCCACATTGAGTGGTTTTATTGCAGAGATGATTTAATGCAGCCGTTTTCTGTCCTGTGCAATCATTAGCTGACTCTGTAGCTTTTCACCTTAAGCTGGATTCACTTCTAGTTTCACCTCTGGCATATGACACACACTCATTCACCTGTTTAGTCTGAATGAAAACTTGCCCAGCTCAGGTGTGGTGCTCCGACTCTCGTAAAGGTTGCCTAAAGGTTCCCTACAGCAAGACACAACACTGATATCTAGTCAGCGACTGAAAAGAGCATCTGATAATGCCATTATTAGTCACTGTGCCTTCGCCAGCCACAAGACAGTGGACTTTCCTTTGCTGATGGATTAGCTCCGCATTAAAGGGCTGGAAAAATGTGTTAATGCACAAAGGCGAGAGGAAAAATGGTCAGTGTGGAACGTGAAATTAAAAGTTAAGATTTTCAGCTGAGGGGTACGCTTAGTCGTTAAATTTTGTTATTTTTTTCAGATTTGTTTTTTGTTTTGCACGTGTGTTTATCATGACCCTGTCGTAAAAAAGAAATATAGAAAAAGCATCTCTCTGTCTTCTTCCAGCCGCCACCCGTGATCACAGACAAGCAGCTGGATGAGAGAGAGCACACGGTGGAGGAATGGAAAGGTAGGAAAGATCCTCTCCCCTCCTCTCCTTCCTCTCTGATAAGCTGTCATAAGTACTTAGCTTTTTGCAGTGTGTTGAATAACGACGGTCTGGCTTTGTGCTCCGCAGCCTGTGGGACATTTAATCTTCGTTCTTGAAGGGAGTTGCATGTTTTCCTCTGCACAGTCTGTCAGAATTTATAAACGACCCAGTGTCGGAGGCACAGTCCTCATTTTACTCTGGAAATAACCGACGCACATGCATACCCGCCCGCGTTCCCGTTATCGCTGCCTGGAATGTGGCCGTAAGGATGTTTTCTTACGACGTATATGATGCAGAAGAGAGGTGGAGAGTGTCAAATACTTGACCCTGACTAACAACTTCTGTTTATAGCAACAAGGAGGTCCCTGTGTTCTCCAGAAACAAATACTTATAATACATAAAACAATACATATACTGCATTCATCCCTGGTTAGCACTGAGGAGAGGCGGGTACTGTGAGGACACACTAACAGCCTGGCAGCACTATTTATCCTCATGTGAATAAAGGGTTTTCTCAGGAATGTCAGCTCACGATTCCCACAGCGATGAAATAAAAGCACGGATTAAAGTCCCCCTCCAATAACACATGCACTTTGCTTATATTTCACCTCACTGTGTTGTTGATGTCTGTGCAGACACGGTCTTGCTAAAAGATGAACATTTCTCTGAGCTCATCCTAATTACTAATTTCAAGACATGTATTGGAAGTCGGTGTGCAGTTTAAGTGTCCTTTAGCTTGGTTAATAGTGGTGGGAAATTGTGAGTCAATGTGTAAATATAAAACTGGAGTGGACCTGTGATGGACCCCTGAGGAACACCAGAGGGGAACAGGGTGGGGTTGGTGAGGTTGATGTTCTTTTTGAATATCTTCTGCCTTCTGTGTGTTGACAGAGTGATAATGACAACAGGAGACTCACACCTGAGGTGTGACGTGTTGCTGTTTCCTGATTCCTCACAGACTGCTGAAGGACACATTTTCCCATTTCTAGTTCCTTAGAAGGAAATGATCCTGTGTTAAATGTTTAAAGGGTCCAGAAAATAAAGCTGCAGGAACTCTGTAGTTCTTTCTTGTTTTTCTTATTAGTCCTAATTTTCTCTGCTAAAAATAACCATAAGATGTGTAGACATTAAAATGGACAGGTGGGTTGAAAACTCCACCTGCTACTCAGGCAACAAATTAAAACTCAGTGACCTCAAGGCGGCACTGTAATGATCAATGTTATGCTTTTGCAATTGACTCAAACTGTTTAGCATGGAGTCAAAATGTTTTAATCATTTTAATCTCTCGGTTCACCTGCGACTTTACTGCATTTGTCCTCTAAAAATGTCAAATCTGTCTCAATACGAGGTTTTCAAATCTTCAAGTGCTACCAAGATGGACACAGACATGAGGATACTAGATGTCACGTGTTACAAATGGTGACTGTTGTGTTTCAAGATGAAATTGACAAGAATGCCATATTTTTTCACATGTGATGTGACCGCTTCAAGAAATGGCGTGAAGGATATGAAGGGTTTAAATCCTCATCTGGCCATGTAGCCTACAATGTGGTATTTCGTGTGCAGTGTTTTAAAGTGCTCAGTAACCTGCTTGGACCTTACCTGCAGCTATATTTTCTTTAAAATCAGTTCAGTTCTTTTACACCTAAAGAAAAATATCTAATCCTTCCATGTCTGCTGTTGAGGAAACAGACATTTAAATTAGTGACCACACACCAGAATGTTCTTCATTGTCTATGAACCTGACGACAACAACCAGATTTGTGTTTGAACTCATGTCTTTCACTCTTTTTCTTCACTTCTTACCTGTTCTTAAACAACTAATAATGTTTTGTGTGTTGCAGAGTTGATATATAAAGAAGTGCTGGACTGGGAAGAAAGGACGAAGAATGGTGTCATCAGGGGACAGCCGGCGTCCATAGGTTAGTGGAGTTACTTTAGTCTCTCAGTACCAAAACAACCATTTTTCATCTGAGCTCCAACAGGATGAAATGAACACGTTTGTACAACATGTGACACCTGTGCACGACCACTGTTCTAGTGTTACACTGTGAGTGACTGTAATGTGGCTGCTGAGTGAAAGATCTTTTCCCTCTCAGCTCACATTTGCAACACTCTGACTTCATGTCAGTAATCCCTCTAATGGGACCGTACAGTATGTGGGCAGCAGAGTGACTGAATGAGCAGACTGCTGTGACACTTGTACCGTGTTCTGTTGTGACCCTGCTTAGATTCTTTTTCTTTAAAACTTCAATGTGGCACAAGATTATGAAACAGGATGAGCGTTTTAGTCCACCACAGTGTTTATACAGCATGTGGCAAAACCCTGTTACACAAAACTGAACTGTTTGAGCCCAGCAGACACATTCACATCAACTTTTCTTGGTTGAATTGCTCTCAAAATATGTCTTGCAGTGAGGTGTGGTGCATATCAAATGAAACAGCGTCACTTGACCATTCCAACAATGCTAGTTGCTTATTAGCATCGCCGGGAAAATTCAACACCAATCAACATCTTGGTGCTACTGGAAGTGATACAGTAGGAGAGCCATTGCTAAGCAACTTTCTGAAGAAGAAACCGCAGTATCACTCCACCAAAAGCCGCAAAGGAAGAGGCAGGAAGCAGTTATCACAGTGGTCTAATAAGTGTCTCCTGTAAACAGTCATGACCACTGAAAAAAAAAGACATTTTAATATAAAGACTTCTCTAAATAACAAGGTACAGCACGTGTGGTTTGTATTTCTAATGACCCAGATAAGAGCTGAAAACTAAAGGTCATTAAATTACCCATTCATTTAACTCAGCTACGATTAGAAGAACTCCTGATGACTGACCACAGGCCTTCTCCTGCTCCTCATAGCACAGGTGCAGCAGTGAGCAGCAGCCCCCACCAGCACCACCAGCACCACCCCTCCACGTCCTCCTCCGCCTCCTCCATGTCCACCGACCCGACCCTGACCGACACCGACAGCAGCCTGGAGACGGCCAGCACCGCCGCCGTCGCTGCTACGGCCACCGGCCCCGTGGGCTGCTGCAGATGACTATCATCTACACCTCCTCCTGGTCCTGGTCCTGGTCCTGGTCCTGGGCCGGGCCACACCCCCTCCCCCTCCTTGGTCACATCCTGGACCAGCAGCCCGGCTCCTGGTCCCACCCCCCTGTATTTGCCTCCTCTCCGTGCTTGTCTTCAGTAGTGTAGCGTTTAGCCAGCTAGCTGTTTGAGAAACATTTCTGAAAGGACAGATGTTTTTTTTAAAACGACAGTTACAGTCTTCTCCTTTTTTTTCCTTTTTTTTTGTTTTTTTAAATTAGGATTTCTTTTCATTTGAGTCCTAGCTGTAATTTATTGTGGCATTTCTTAATTTTTTCAGAAACCTAAGATGATAAGAGAATTTTTATGATTTCACTATGTTGCGGTTTATATTAACCGACAGTGAAAATTTAAAGAAATATCTGTAAAATGTTTTAATGTGATCTATTTTTCTGTTGAAAGTCATTTTGTTTCACTTGTAAGCTACTGCTTTTACAACTTGCCATATAAATGTAGATTGAGTTTGTACAGATTTTATGGTAGATGTAGTTTTATCTTCGATACAAGTTTGCAGTGAGCCATTGAAACCTAATTTAATTGACAAATGTATGGTCTTAGTACTTCCCTTCTCTTCTATCTCACATCACCTGGATATTGTTTCAAATTCACACGACGTATCCACGAGATCATGTAGATTTATTTGTAAAAAAAAGCCTTTTCTTGTGAGTCACTACTACATCCTACATTGTACAATTTAATGAAAGCTTTATCATTTCCTGATTCTTCACATTTTCAGTCCGACGTTTTCTTTAAATGATTGATTTTACCTTTTACGCCACAGGATCGATAATGACGCAGTTAGGTCCTGCAAGACACCTTCTCGATGACTGTCTTCTGTATTTTTTTTTTAAAGTGCTTTAAAGTACCTCTTATCTGCGACAGGCTGGGCGACGTTATGGACCCGGAAAGGTGGGGATTGTTTGGGGACTTTAGAATGTTCTTCATCGTGCTTCGAGAGGTTTTTCGAGACGTAGAGTTGTGCGAGGTCGTAAAGTCGGTGACGGTGTAAGTAGAATGTGCTTCGGTTAAGTAGGGAATTGTGGGGTTTGTATTTTTGTAATTTTTTTTGAGAACGCATGCGAACGTGTCGATGTTTGGTGTCTCGGAGGGATAGCGATTCTGCAGCCTGATGGAACAGTGTGAAAAGATGTCTGCCTCCCACTCCCAGATCCCGTTATTAGTAATTTTGTGAATTTGGAAAATCGGAAAGTGATTTATTTTGTCCTTTTTTTAAAAAGTTGGCCAAACACTACCAGACTTGCCTGCAATTACGAATAAAGCTAAAAGAGTCTAGCAGCACAAACAACCAGAGACAAATTATTCTTACTGTATGCAATAATAGTGCCCTTGTTAAGTGTAGTAGATTTTGTTTTGCAAGGAAAAGTGCCTGTTGTTTGTCATTCATTCCTGAGTGCGTGGGAGGAAGCGTATCGGTGATGTGTAGGCTTTTATGGCGTCCGGATAACAACAGTAGTTTTCACGTCAAAACAATTATGGCGGCGTTGTAGTTCTCACAAATGTATTGTATATTTTTCTACTTGTTTTTGATTTTTTTGGAGCAGGAGACTGTAGTGTCTTGCAGGGTAAAGAAGGTGATGACGTATGCGTTGAGGTGCTTGAGCATGTGTTTGAGTCATTTCAGGAGAAGAGGCAGTTTTATCAAGGTCTTTCATCAAAGTAAAAAGAAGTGTTTCTTTGCAGTGACAGCAACCAAATTATAGGTTCATAACAATTTTTCTTTGAGTACTTATTTAATGTGATGATTGTAAGAGAGAATAATGAAAGTTTAACTACTGGATCAAACTAAACGAACTCTGTGACTGCATTTATGTCAGTATTTTGCGGATGGCTTTGGGTAAAGTTTACTGTTGGAAAGGCAGATGAATGCTTTAGTTATGAAGACATGTGAAAGGCAAACGACCACAGTGTTTATGTAACTTAACACCAGTGGTACTAACTGAAAAAAGTCCTAATCATAGTTATTCAACTTTAAACTCTCCATATTAGCTTACTTCCTTCAGCTAATCCGCCTGCTACAAAATGTTTGCTTAAATAAACCACGTCTGCGAGAGACAGAGCTAAGATGTGCTCTTGCCTGGATATCGTGAGCAGATGTTGTGGACGCTGACAGCAAAGGATTAAACGTCACTGTGCTAGGATTGTCTAATTGTGTAACACAACTGTTTGTCTAAAACCTGTCTGGGTTTTTGACAAGGATGTTTTTTTTTTCTTTTTTAAAGAAGCTCAGAGCAAAGTGGCGAGTTTATCTTTAAGCTGTAGCATTCGCTGTTGCTCTGTGCTGTGATCTGCTTCGGCAACACCATGTTGTCCTAACATATCAGGTTTTTCTCAACTATTTCTCAAGTATTGCTGCACTGTGGCTCCTTCTCTGTTCCAAGTTCTGGACTGGCACCAGCTATTTGTTATTCCAAGACTAAGTGTGTTACTAACTACTAACAAACAAATAACAAGTTTAAAACGAAAATCTGCTTGCTTTATTAAAATGTAAGAACTGTTTTCGATAGTATCAACCTAAGCAACAGATAAACTTAACTCAAGATATATTAAACTTAACTTCTATTCCTATGTAAATATAGGTATTACTTTGTTTTATCTATATATGCATATAAGTCAGAGTAAATGAGAATTATGTCAGTACACTAACATAATTAGTTTTGTTTGCCCATTCAGACTGTAATCATTGACAGATTATTTTTTTTAGGTGTATTATGTTATTTTGTAGAATTTATTTCTTAAAACTTCCCAGTGTACATTACATCAAGTGTCTAGACAGAGTATCAACCATATTGCATTACCTCTTGTATTCTTCAGACTAAACGGGTTGTAAATTAGCAAACAAGCTAGCCTTGTCACTAAGTAGCACACGCAAACATTAGCTTTGTTATGACATGGCCGCAACTTTACATGCAGTATGTCAGAAATCAAATGTTAGCTGTGTCAGTTACCTGCACAGCCAACAATAGTAGGCATATTAACAAGCAAATGTTAGCTTTATCTCCGACCTACGGCACAGTTAGCGTAGTATAATTGCAAGATAATACTAGATATGTCATTGAGCTACAGCGCTATTAGCATATATTAGCAAGCAGATGTTAAGGGTGTTCGTTAACTTCACAGGCCTTAATATTTGAAATGCTATATTTTCCACTCGGCCACACAGCTGTTAATACTTGATATATTAGCAAGCAAATGTTACCTTTGCTAGTTAGCTGCATCGTTTAGCTGTAAAACCCTTCATATTTTATATGTTAGCAAACAAATGTTAGCTACACAACTGTTCATATTTAATATATTAGGAGGCAAATGATGGCTTTGTCACCAAGTTTCACCACTGTTAACATTTAATTTATTCGCAAACAAGCATTAATTTTGTCAGTTACCTACACAATTGTTAATATTTATCATATTAACAAGCTAATGTTGTCTTTGTCATTTACCTGCACAGCTGTTCGTCTCAATATATTAACAAGCTAATGTTAGCTTTGCCACTCAGCTACACAGCTGTTAATATTTATCATATTAACAAGCTAATGTTAGCTTTGCCAGTTACCTACACAACTGTTAATATTTAATATGTTAACAAAGGCACGTTACTGTGACACTAACCTATGAAACAGTTAGCATGAAGCAAGCAAACCTTAGCTATGTCGGTTAGCTGCACAGCCCTTAATATTTCATATATTAGCAGACAGACATTAGATTGTCACTTAGCTGCACAATTGTTAATGTGTATTATATTAGCAAGCAAATGTTGGTTTTGTCAGCTTATTAAAAAAAATGGCAATGTTTAATATATTAAAAAGCTAACATTAGCTTTTTCAGTTAGCAACGCAATTGTCTTTGGTCCGACGTAGTTCATGTGGTGCAACCTGTTGCCATTTTGTGATTTGTCAATCTTCACTTCGGAAGCACTTGTCACAAACAGCTGGTGCCACAGATCACCAGAATAAAAGGAATGGTTTGGTAGTCATTAAGCATTATGCTACAGTGCTAGCAACCGCGGAGCCAGATTAACATTGTATAAGACTAAATTTAACCTGTTTGTGTAGTTTCTAACAGCAAAGAATGAAACTGCCCAGTGGCAAATGTGTAGTAGTACTAACGAAGACATAAGCAGTGTCACAACTTTAAAAACGGCATTAACAGGAAGTTAAACAGTGATATGTATCCATTTGTCATATTAGCTTAAAAAAAAAGAAAAAAAACTAGATCAGTAAAAACAGTTTGTTCTCTAAAGTGCTCTTAATTTTCTTAGCCCAACATTAGGGGCATTAATTGGAGTATTTTTTTTTTATTTAATTTTGTTCTTCTTTTTAGGTTGTTGTTGCTTTATCATGATTATTATTACATCTCTCCAAACAATTTCAGTCTGATTTAAGTCGGCTTTGATGAACTACCTCACGCTGAATTTCTGCCAGTTCTTGCATATTCTTAGTCGCCTGCAGAATTAGCTATCGAAGACGTGTGAATAACAGATTCCATTATTTATTTATTTGAAAGTGTACTATTTGTCGGTTTCAACAGACTTCTAGTTTTGTACATTATGTATACTTCACCTAGAAGTGAGAGAATTGTTATATGTATTTTTTTTTTTGTTCTTTTTTTGTTTTGTTTTGTTTTCTTTTTAAACTAAATGTGCAATACCTTCAGCAAACTGTGCTAGTAGTATGTGATGGGCCTAGCGTTTGTTAGCTGTCTCCTGAAGGTAAAGAAAATGTTTGGTACTGTCAATCCATGTTTTCCTCTTTTTTTTTTAAATGAATAAGATCAGTTTTTATTTCTGTGACTTGTTTATAGTCATAATGTTACGTAATCGGTCTTACCCACCAAACGAATCTGTCGGCTGGAGTTTGACGCAGAGACCCGATGTTCTTTGACTCACGCATGGCCGACAGATTTTTTGATTTGGGATGTTTAAGAAACACAAAAAAGGTGAGTAAATACCTACAAGAAATCATTATATGTATGGTGCTGGTTTGTAATGTTTGCTAGTGAATCCAGCCATGCAAGTAGTTTTAAGAATTCCTGGATCTGCGTGTCCCGAAAAACCGCAACCAACGAAGAAGTGCACTACTAGAATACATGCACTGGGATCTGATGATGCCACCTCTTAAAAAAATGAAACAAAAAAATACAATAAAGTAAAAAAAAAACAACAAAAACAAACAAAAAAAAAACATGTACTGCAAATAAAAGAAATACACTTTGATTCATGATTGTACGTCTTCATTTCGTAGAGACAAAGGGTTTGTCGAGTTTTTGATGATCCAGTTCTGGTGAAGGTTTCAAAGGACCCAAAGGCTTAATTTAACCCACACCCTCTTTCACCTTTATGAATGAATCTGAAATACAAGTCTTGTAGCTCTATACTAGTAAATGTGTATTAGCCCGCACACTTCCTAAAAGCTGGAATGCCCCTCGTGGTCTTTGTCATTTTATATTTCACTGATAAATATTTCAAAAGTGCAAAAATGTATTTTTGGTAGAAAACTGCCATTTTGTTTTTCAGATGCGATACCCAAAGAACTCAACTTTGCCGCAGTCTCACATGTAATCTTTGTCACCTTTATTCCCATACATGGCCATTCATTACAATAGTGGAAATCCATAATAAATAAGCACCATAGATGATCAGCAGAGCAATAAGAAACATTTAGCCTTAGTCACGAGACATACATAAGAGGAAAATATATGTCTGTTGGAATCAAAGAACCTGCTATCAGTTTAGACCGTTATATTCTGAACTGTGAGGGACCAGTTCACGAAGGACGATTACCTTGTAAACCTGTGCAAAAGAATATAACAACATTGTCTTTTTGTTCTTTATAAAACAGTCACATTGTCCTACCGAAAACACACTTTTACTTATTATTATACTGCTCAAAGGGCCCTTTAAGAAATCACTGTTACTTATGACACCGCTGGACATTCTTCTCATTGGTGACGATATGCAGAAAAACAAAAAAACATTTTCAATCGTGTAACCACATGCAATTCTCACAAATATCTGCAAGTCCTCATTTGGCTTCCAAACAAATTGAAATTAACATAGTCACACAACCAGCAGTGTGGAAAACCAAACCTGCCATAATAACTATAATTACAAAGAAATAAGTAAATGGCTCAATAAATGCATTAACATGCCATTAAATGTGCCAAAAACACTGCTCAAAATAAATGTAGGTATTAATTGAATTAATTGATATTTCGGTTTTCATTTGCTTTTATAGCTACCTTTGTACTAACTCTACATATCTTACTTTTTCATTTTACTTGACTTTTTTAAATATTATTTCACAAATTTTTTAAAGTTGTTCATGTATGTATTTATGTGCCATTCAAAATTGCTAAAAAAAAAAAAAAAAAAAGTTTAGTGAAATAAATTGGGAGGGAATGCAGAGGGGGAAAACAAATTAATTTAAAAGGGAAAACAATGAATAAAAGATAAATAGAGGAATTAGTACAGTTAATTCCCCTATTATTAAATACAGAAGCACCAGAAATATCAGTTGATGACATATTGTATAAATTGATTAATGCATATTTATTTTGATTATCATTTTTAAGGCATAATAATATAGCTATTGAGTCATGTATTAATTTCTGTATTTGTTTTGCTTTTGGCAGGTTTGGTCTTCCATACAGCCCAGCTGGAGCCTGATATGCGAGTCTAATGGTATATGGAGTTAGAGTTGTTTTTCTCTCCCCTCTGAAAAACATACACATTTTTTTTTTTCCATAGGGCTGGTTTCGTCAACAACACATTACATTCACTACAAGGATACATTCTTAATGCAAAAACTTCCATTCAATTCACGATTCACTTTCACAAGAATTGGCACCTTCTAGGGATTCTTCAGCATCAGCAGTTTGTTCCATAATAATAAAAAAGAAACAAAAACAATGCAGCCACTGTGTGTACTATGGGCGAATATATGCACTACATCTCTGGACAAGCAAGCAACACTACATTTTTTCCTATTTAAAAACACTTCCCTGAAGGCACAACCAGGAAACTCCATTGTTTCTTTGAGGGCAGTGTTCAGCTTCATGTGCCAAAATCAACATGGCTTCCAGGCAGGCCATTCTGATCTGTAGTGAGCGAACAGCTGAGGCGGTCCAGCTTTGGTATTTACTGAGTACTGTAAATGAGCCACATGTCCTGTGTGCCATGCAGCATGCGCAAGATGAAAATGCTTGAAGAATTGTTTTCATTGTCCCTGTGATATTATCTGTACATTAAAGGTATATTGACATCAGTGAGGATCGGAGAGAACCGAAGACTGAGGCTTCGCCATCAAATGGACTTGGAAACCATGAAGATGGTGACGATAGAGGCACTGGAAGGGCCTGAGGACAAAGAAGGATTTAGAGGCAGCTATGGCAGAAGTCCCATCTGTTAATGCTTCAGCGTTTCTCCAAAATAAACTGTTTGGAAAATCTAGTTAAACCTGGTTGTGTTAAGTTACACAAATTGGATTCCACAGTAAAACACTTGGCAAAAAAAAATGTCTGCAGTATAAATATGGAGGACGATAATTGCAAGTAGAGGAACCTCTGCTAAAGCTACCACGGTTATTTAGGAGTCAGTTCACCCAAATGACATAAAAATACTTACAACTAGTGGTTACAAATACTTTCATTTGCCCAGGTTTAGAGATACACTGTACATAATTGGAGTTTGGCCACCACCACCACCCCACTTTAAAAATCCATGTCTGGTGCTCACAGCATTAAAACCACACTCGAAAAATTACAATTTCAATTCTTCTGTATTTTCAAAGCCTGGACAAAAAGAAAGTAACTTGGTAGCTTCCACTACAGGCTGAACCGACCCTGCAGTATAAGAAATTGTTTGACATTTTGGGAAGAAAAGTTAGCGAAGACGTGAGCGAAGCAGACTGACACTGCTAAATTCGATGAAGCTAGAGCCAGCTAGCTTGGGTTAGCATTAAGACTGTAACCTCCTGTAAAAAGCACTACTTGTGTTTTTTTACATTTCAGTTTTTATAAGTATTCAGCAAATGAGATATAACTAGTTAGCTTTACAAGTGATGATGGTGTTTAATTTTTACCGTCATGCTGAGCTACAGGCTAGCTTTTTCCCTCTCTTTATGTTAAGTTAGGCTAACTAGCTTCAAGCTGTAGCTTCTTATTTGACCTACAGACATGAAAGTGGCATCAAACTTCTCGTCTAATTTTAGGTAAGAGAGCAAATAGGCCCTTTTCCCAAAATGTCAAACTATTGCTTTGAGATAAATACCTCATAAAGATAAATATCAGTCAGCTGTCTGCATTCAACATTGATGTTTTGAACAAGTCTTACAGTTTCAGCACAAAATCCATTCACTTAGTGTACTTGTGAAGTAGTGGTTGAAGAAGTCAGTGCTCTCCATTACAGAGAATGTCAGGGAAATTACATTGTGTCCCACCGGTCATGTTACAGGCACCTGAACCGTTTAAAATACTGCCTTCACAAGACGAACCCTAGACTCCTTATACAGAGGGCCATCTTCTTAACGTTCAGTTTCAAGCATGCGTAAGAAAGTCAAAACTGCTCATTGCTCAGCGGAGGTCATTCTAGTAAGGATCCCTCAGTCTGTCAGTTACTTCCTTCAGAATTCATCTTTACACTTCAATATACTTCAACTTGTCCTGAATCTGCACCTTTCCTTGATTTTCTCGTTCAAGTCTTCTTTTGAAGGAACATCCCGATGCACTGAGGACGGTGTGAGCCCTTAAAAGGCCCTGAAATATAAACCTGGACCACAGCGACAGGGTTGGCCCCAGACGGATGAGAGGCCACGCTGTTTCAAATGTCACTAGTCCTCGCACCCAGGGCCAGATCCCCCAGTGTGGAAAAGAAATCCTCCATTTCCTTCTCCAACAGCCGGTTGCGGTTTTCTGCGTCCTCTCGTGCCCGCTCGGAGTTTCGTAGTTTGATTTCCAGCATGCGTTGCTTCTTCTTCTCCTGCTCCATCTCTTGCTCCAAACGCTCCATCTGGGCACACAGAGCAGCGCTGGACTCTTCCAGTCTGAGGGGAGGCAGCAAAACACAGACAAAAAAAAAACGTCAATGACATTTGCTGTTATTCTCTGGACAAAAATAAACCCTGCTGTCAGGATTCTTTTTACTACCTCCGCAAGGAAGATGGTGAAGGAAGGAAACCCCATGTTTTGCAGCTTAAAAATAATTATTGCTGTTAACAGGTCATTTCTGTAGGTTTTGGGAACGTTTTACAGTAGTGACTCATAGTTGTAGTATCAAAAAAGACATTAATGATCATTTTACTTGCCAAGAAGAGTACTGCTCAGTCTGTTTATACAGTTTTATATCTTCTGTCACACTGCAGGAGCTTTAGAAAGTGTGTTATCTCAGCTTTAAGTCAGAGACTATACATATATATATATATGCTGTACCTTTGAGCAGCCCCTTCCTGACAAATGCACTTTGTTCCATAAGGCTTCCACCAACTATAGATGCTGGTAAAGCAAATAATAGCTGGATTTCACCTCTTTTTCTTCTTTGTTTAAAATGTCAACTTCTTGAATTTATCTTTGTATGTCCAGACCCAAATCTGATCCAAAATATACCAGCGGACGACACCAGCAACCCCTTGAACTATCAACGCAACAACCATATCAACAAAGGCTACATGCATAACCCAATCTGTCATCATCTGTTTGCTATGGGGGTGGAGATAACACTGTGAATAATTTGTTCACAGCAGACTGAGGCCTGGGCTTTGGACTTGCAGGGAGCCTTTTAACACACATTCCCTTCAAGTTTTGGAACTTTGACCGTGTGAAACTGATTTCTGACAGCGTAAGAATTTTAGAAATGACAGCAAAAGCCATGAAATGTGCCGAATTCATTTCTTAACGCACAGCCTGTGTTACAAAAAGGGCATGTGAAGTTTGAATTATGGGGTTTTACTATCCTGGGAAGTTTGAATACAAAGCCTCTGTTGAAATGCACTATGGGTAATGAAGGATATGTTGTTTTGTGAGCTTGGTCCAGCTGAGGAGTAAAATTCTGGATGTATTCGATCTCCTATATTATTCTATAGTTTAGACCTCTCTCTAATTGCTGTGTATAATTACAATACTAAATCTCTGTCAGCCATAGACATAACTGGATAGCAAAAACAAAGAGAAAATCAACATGCATTTGGCAAAATTTAAAGACCCCGCCCCATAGTCTTACTTTTGGATCCTGGTCTCATATGAAGTCTTCTGTTTTCTCAACTCGTCCTTCAGTCCTTCCACCAAGCTGCTGAGTGTTAGGTTTGTCCCATCTCCATCTTCAGACATGATGATGGACGGCACCCCGGGGGCCATGGCCATGTTTCCATTCTCGCTGCAGACTGCACTACTGCTGCACAACTCCATGGCCTCACAACTGTCCTGTTCAGAGCTCGGCTCTGTCGTCATCCCTCCATCCCTTCCTCTGTCAATATCTCTCTGGCCTTCCATCCACTCCCCCTTTTCTCCACCCTCTACCCCACCTCGACAGTTCTGATGTGGCGAGGGCTCGCTTCCGGAGTCTGGGACAGAGATCTCACAGGAGGACGTGGACCACGGTGTGCTGGATACACTTGGAACACTTCCCATGCTTGAGGAGGAGGTGACGTTGTCGTAGGTGGACAGCCTCTGGGAGGAACCGGTGGAGTCACGGTCACGGGCGGAGCGCTCGCCTGAAGATGTGCGCCGGTGTCCCCTCAAGGAGGACAAACCATTCATGAGCCAGTTACCTCCACTTCCGCCTCCACCACCACCAGAAGATACACTGGTTGTATCTGCCACTGAGCCACCGCTGCTGCTCTGCTTGGCTTGCGGTTGGGAACGAGGTGCTGAGGAGCTTTTGAAGGAGTATTTCCAGGAAGGCATGGTCTTGGCTTGTTTGCTCGGGCTGACCACCGTCTCGCCCTTCCCTGATGGAGACCCAAGTTTTGGTCCAGGGTTTGGATTGGGGGTCTGGGTGGGAGTGACGGCTGCACACAGTTTGGCATCCAGAGACGAGGCACTGCTGTGCAGTTCTTGGTCGGGGTTGGAGACGGGGCAGGTCTGCAGGTCCTCTTCAGAGATCCAAGCACCTAAGCTGCGGTGCTGGAGCTGATGCCCCTGGACTGGGAGCTCAGTCTGGGATAGAGCGAGCCCTTCCTGGTCCCTCCCTGAGTACAAACGGTTGTGTTCCCTAATAAGGATAGTCATCAGGTGCTGGACCAAAGATGTACCTGGACAATATGGACCACAATCAGATAGGTTATCAAGGTATAGCTGAATCATTTCAAATAGATTCTGAACATGAAGTCATTTGCAGTAACTTTTAGAATGGATTCAGTCATAACAGTTGTCCACACCTTCCATGATAGTGACTGGGTCCTCCATCTTAGGTCGAAGGATATTTGGTCCGAAAACTGTGGCGAGGTTCTGGACACTCATCTTGTTCTCATTACAGTGGGACTGGACCTCATCAAGGAATCTAAGGAGGGATGACAAGGTGACTAAATTACGATAGAAACTGATGTTCTCAACTATAAAAGGATATATAAAAATACACAGTTCAACTATGGATATGTCAGTGCCCCTGGTCGACCCCTCTGTGTGTTTTTCAAAAAGTTAAGTGAACTGAGAATAAACATGAGGAAACACAGATAACAAAAGTACTTACTTGCATATGTACTTGAGGAGATTGTAGTTGGCTAGAGGTAGAGTGCTGACTTGCTTTCCAAGCTCCTGGACCCCCTGTTACAAAAACAAATTATAGCACTTACTGTACACACAATGACACTCATACAGTCCACACACTGTCACAAAGAGTAAACTGCACAAACCTCCTCCTCATCTTTGGCCAAAAGCTGTGCACAGGTTAGAAAGTCTTCATATTTGGAGAAGGGGATCACTGGTTCAGGCAGCTCTCGGAGGTACAACTTCAGCAAGGATGCCACCGTGTGGACGTCTGTGTTACTGCAAAAGAGTAAATAAAAGAAGAAAGAAAAGAAACAGGATAATAAATTTAATCCAGACTGTGAAGGTCAGACATACAGTGATGATTTCCTGCCTCTTTCTCTCCCCCCACCTGTCAAACAAAGGCTTGTCCCCACAGTCAAAGGCCTCCTGCAGCTCTTTGACGAGGTTGGCCTGTCCCGGCATCCGAAAGAGACCCTCCTCATCCAGACCCCTGTCTCTGATGAAGTCCACACACTGCTCCACCAGCAGGGGTGCCAGGCGGGGGCCAAACTTCTTCTCATACTGCACCGTGTCCTCTAGACGCTGGCCAAAGATCCCTGGAGACAGAAGGAGGAAACACACGATGAAAGTGCCCTTAATGGCTTCATCCACTCAGGACACTGGGTTGTAGGGGGTCAATTCAGTAAAAGTTGTTTATTTTTATTTTATGTGAGTTAGGGCTGAACAATTAATCTAAATATTACCAAAATGGAAATATGTCCAAGTGCAGTATCTGTGATTTAAAAAAATATATGTTAAACATTATGGTTCTAGAGATGGCCCGGCTTACAAATAATGTTCTCCAGACTTAAGGAAACATACTTGTTTGATGAAGACTTCAGCTAAAATCACATAATTTTTTCTCCTTTTTTTCCAGGAGCTAAAAAAAAATGGGAAAAAAACCTTTCAAATAATAACTCAGATTTATATATATATATTGCATATACTTCAACCCTAACTTGAATGTTCATGTCACAGTCTCTGTTGTACCAATCTTGTACTACTTTAGAGCAAGTACAACAAAAATCACTGAGCAACTGCTGCAAGTTACTGCTCAGTTTTTCAAAATAAGGCCCTCCAATAACAGCATCATACTGAAAATGCATCAAATCTGTGAAAACCTTTGCCGGTAGACAAAATGTATATGATAAAAAAGAATTATTCCACATTTTTACACAGAATCCCTTGAAGAGGCTCTTGTGGCAAAATGATATTCATAAATAAATCAATCAAAATAAATAGGGATGCACGATATATCGGTGACCACATCGGTATCGGCCGATATTACTGTTTTTTCAGACATATCGGTATCGGTCCGATGAACAAATTTAGCTGATGTTAAAAAAAACAACAACAAAAAAATGCTGATTGTCTAACATTAGTGTCTTTGTCTCTACATTTGAAATTGCTGCTATTTCACAGATGTTTTTACTTAAATGGTCTTGGACTTGAACGCTCATATGATAAAATATGTTTAAATATGTTTTACTTTTGTTACCGAAGAAAGAAGACTATGGGGTCTAATATGGTTTGGGCTTCTTTTGAATAGTTTTTACGTTCTCACAGTGCTTTTTTATACTCGTTTTTCGGTGTGAAAAAAAAATTGAATATCGACATCGGTAATATCGGCGAAATTAGAAATCTTAATATTGGATATCTGTATGGGTCAGAAATTTTAATATCGTGCATCACTAAAAACAAACACATCAATCAATTCTAGCATTGGCCATAAAGAGAGGGGAAAAATCAAAGAGACACTCTGTCATTAATAAATCTTCTTGTTTTTTTAAATATCGGAAAGTTCTTAAAGTCCTGAAGTGGCTCTTTCCAGGTAAACCGTGGTTAATGTCTGACTGCTTCCCGGTCGTTACCTGCTGACTGGCTGCAGCAGTCCCAGGTCGCTGACAGCTCGCAGTAATCGTAGTAATTCACCGAGCAGGAGCTGCACAGCAGCAGAGAGCTTCTCTCATACATCCCCAAACCACATTTCGTTAACTTCATCCATTCCGGTTCAGGCATTGACTCGGTAGATTAATCCCGCATTAACAAAGCTCGACTGGAGGAGAAGGACGGAGCAGTCCGGGCTCAGAGCAGCAGACGAGGTCAGTGTGCTGTGACCGCGGTGTGGCTGTTAACGACGGCTCTATAAGTTGGCGACAGATCTATTCTTGACCGACAACCGAGAGACACACACCTCCAGCCTGTAAATCCGAGAGGGAGGCTGGAAATACGAGCGAGCCGGAGTGAGGTAACCGAGCGGATAGCCGATCACCTACAGCCGGGGGCGCCATCATGTCGTTTATTTAGAGGAGGTGCACCGTCAAAATCACTGGTATTGTCACGGAGACTTGCAAATGTACTTGTAACATCCTCAGAGGAATCCTCAGTTTATCAACTTTTCAGGTGCACATTGCATTTATTAGCACAAAGAAGATAATGTTAGCGTAAACGTTTTCCTCTCGGGGCTAACAGCAGGTTAGCTAGAAAACAATATTAGTAAGTAAAAAGTTATGTTCTCAACTTGTAACCTCTGTTTCCTACTGACAATATTAACTCAGGACTGTGTAAAAATATCTTTATGCCCATGTCCTTTCTGTAGGAGTTATTTTAATAATGTAGTGTTGCATTTTTATTTAACAAAATTAAGAACTTTGCTGCTAATAACGGACAACAAGCTAGCACTATATTGTCAATTAGGTGTGGGCTAACAACTCATACAAAACTCATTCATTAAGAAAATTCTATATCTAGTAGTAATTCATAAATTTAATCAAGTATTTATTTATTTTTTTCTTGGGCCTTAATTCAGCGGTTATTTCTGAGTCATAGTGCGGTTAGCAACACTGTTAGCATTAATTTGATGAGCTGCACCTTTGGACAAAACCAAACAGCCTAAACAGAGGGGGAAGGTGTGTATGCTGGTAAGATGTAAATACAAATATAAACATACAGAAAGTAGCCTTGAGATTCTAAATTTTACTATTAAAACATTCAATATGAAAACAGGATTTTACAGTTTTTATAGCCATCTATTCTAAAAAAAAAACCAGAATGGGCATGCTTTCCTCCAGATTATACAGGGATGACTACTCTGGTAGATGGTTGTTAGCAAGATGGCCGCCCAGTGACAAGACTTGCCTATTAGGACTTTAACACACTTAAAATTGTAGGAACATTATGTTAGTATTTCAGAACTGTTTTTGTTGTAGTTTGTTTTATTTAATTGTATTTATTTTCTAACAGAATTTAACCAAAGTATACTTCAAAACCAGCCACAAATAGGAAGCTAAGTTAAGCTAAAGCTAACTCATTAGGTGTTGTTGTAGTTTTTTTTTTTTTACCCACAATGTGTGAACTTTAAATATCATTAAATCCTCTGAACCCAAAGCAGTTTCTGACCGTTTTCAGCTCCTGTCACATTTTTACTCACTGTGAGCTCGTTTTTTTCACTGCAGTATAAAGTAATACACCTCTACAAACCATATCTGGAAGAAGAGAGAACTCAAAAATGGGATTTATGATGCCATACATCACTATTTTACCATTATTTATTTCACAAAAATGTATAAACCTGGAATCAACATGTGCAACATTTTTTCCAGCGCACTCAGGTTTTGACAATATTCGAAAAACCACTTGTGATTCTACATACTATAGATATTGCGCTACTAAAATATATGTATTTTTCCATCCTTCTATCTCTGTTCTGGGTAAACACTGCCTGTAGTTCAGCCCAGTTCCACCTACAAGTCTCCACATTTTTGTCATGTGATGTTGGTTGCAGATGAGCCAAACATGGCTTTTCAGTTGCGCCAAGGAGTGCTGAATTTTGAGGTGCGGGTTTTGGTGTTCAGAGGGCTAACACAAATCTTCTGAAGAATTTCCTTCTGCTGCACAATAAACACGAGTTGTTGGCAACTTTCCCAACTACTTAACTAGAGCTGATATCTCCTTGTGTACAGATTTTACTACTGCGGAGTAACACATGAGATGATGCTGTGGGTGGGACATGTGGACTCAAGACAGCCACAGACAGAGACGCAGCTGCATCAACTTTCCACGTCAGTACAAGAATTTTTTTGTATTTTGAACAATACTGGTGTTTCTACTTAAGTTTTTAGGCACAGTTCAACAAACAAAATAAGACGTGTGAACAGTGATAAACAGTAAAAGAGTAAGGGCAGTGGGCAGCAGAGCTTGAATCTGATTTAAAATGAAGATCAAAAGTAGACTGATGATGTCATACACTTCTATCAGTGGTATGTTATTCTACATTTATCCCCCTATTAATATAGAGCTTCTTTGTAACCCAACACCTTGCTGTTCAGCTGCTGCCTACGTTGAAGTTCACAGCCAGACAGGCCCGGTTATATTTCTGGCCTCCTGTCAAGTACACTAGTTAGACATGCTGAGCAGAGAAGACAGGGTGTGAATAAACCACAGGTTCTTTGCTGCATAAATAGAAATGAAGAGAATTTGTAGCTGTAGAAACGTTCCTTTTTAAAAAATTTTTGTTAACTTAATCAAAGTTATTACTCAACCTCAACAGGTGCCAACCCAGGCAGAAACATAGGAACCTCCCTGTCCTGTATTTGTGAATGTACACCAATTTACTGGAATGGATTGACTGCAAACTCTGATCACATTTCTGTAGTCAGGTAGAGTCGTCCGATGCCAGGAATAGAAACTGCAGGGTGAGAATTAACTGCAGGCTAAAGAAACGAGACACAGTAGGTGATACTTTGCATGACTGGGCAGAAGTCTGTAACTTATACAGTAGAAAACAGACAGAGCGGAGATGGGGACTCTACTCTTTTCCTATTTCAGCACTAAGATCTTGTTTCAGATATTGTTGGGAGGGCCCTGGAGCCTTCAGGGCAGAGAGGAAATGAAGACTTCCCAGCTCAGGATGGCATGCTTTCAGCCATTATTGACAAAGAAATCTGAATAAAATGTCTTTAGAACTGCTGGTTTCTACCTTTGACACAAAAATGCTAAAGAGCACAAATCTATCTTGTGTGTTTATGATTTGTCAGCTCAGCTACTTTAATTTTTCTATTAGTGTCCACTGCTGTTCAGTCAAAGGTGTCCAAGAATAAAAATTTTAAAAGAATTTCTCCTGTTTCAGTTTGACAGTTTGGCTTTACCTCCTCCAAACGGCGCCCAGATGACCCGTCGGATGGCCTTTACCCAGTCATCCATGTCCGTCTGGGAGTTTGCCATGAGCAGGAAGGATTCATGGCTGATGGGGGCCCGGTCCTTCTCTCCGGTTCCACCTGGGAGGACGGACAAGAGGGGGAAAGGAGAGTATGGTGAGTACAGCACAGACAAAACGACAGGGTTTTGCCATGGATTAGACCAGAGGGATAGATTAGAGTTTACTTCTGGAAGTTTTGGTCTTTGTTGGAAACTCAGACTAGTTTTCACTTACCCGATACCTAAAAACTCCTCAGTTCCACGAGCATGTACTCAATATAACAATGGAAGAAACTCAGACAGTTGCTGCGTTGCTTTTGTTACCCTAAATGCTGTATTTTACATTGTTGTTGACAACTGATGAAGAGGACAGTGAGAAGGCAAAAAGAATGGCACTTGTTATTTTTTTCGCTGCTTCTGCCTAACACCGGTGATCCTGTTGTTGGAACAAAAATGTGTTCTCTTGCAGTGGAAAATGAATAAGCTTGGGATTACAGTAGTGGAAGATTCTTTTCAACAGAGAAAGACAAGAAAAAGATAGATCAGAATGGTGTGACGAACAGGCTGGCTCTTTGAATAATGCTTAATAAGGAACTTCTTTCTATTTCTGGTGTGTTTTTGGTGGCCCCATTAGCACTGGGAAGTGATTATCGATCTTAAAATCCATCTTTTGAAAGGTCTTAACAAAGGTCCCTGTTGGTGACAAATTGTCAGATGTTGTTTCAGGTGGTGTTGGTCAGTGACTCCAGTTTGAAGCTGCTCAGTAGCAGCACATCAGGAAGACACATCAGTTAGATGTTCAACCAGGAAACAAGGGGAAAGAGAATCAGAATCAGCTTTAATGGCCAAGTATGTACACAACAGACATGGAATTTGGTTTCCGGCTGTTGGTGTCGCCCGAGGAATTAGCAAGGAAAAGAATAACAATAAAGTAAAATAACTATAGAAAGAATAAAAATAAAATAAGATACAAGATATTCAAATCTAGCAGAAAAAAAAATCTATGTACAGTGGTGCAAAAAATGACAGTGCGGATAACAGTGTAAGTAGTCGGCAGTGTTATGTCTGAGAATGGCTCAGCTGTTCAGTACAGTTATGTCAGTGGGATAAAAGCTGTTGTTATGTTTGGTAGTGTTTGTATGCAGGACTAGTGGGGTCTGTGATGATGTTCCCTGCCCTCTTCCTGGTTCTACTGGAGTACAGTTCCTGGATGGAGGCCAGGGGGGATGCAGTATTGGAAATCGCTGTTATTTTGTTTCGTTGTCTGGCTAAAGCTTTGTGGTAGAATGTAGCTCACAATAACATGAGCCAGTAAAGCTGTGGTAACTACCATTAGAGGAAATGCAGTGGATGAGGTGGTGATGGATTGATCTTCATGTTAAACTAAAACGTGGTCCTACATTTGTAGCCAAGAGTCACTGCTGTGAGCGTTTAAAATAAAATAAATTAAAATAAATAAATAAATAAATAAAAAGACTTCCAGTGAAAATATGTTTTTCGTTTTGTTAGTGTCAGGTCTTGAACTTCAACAAAGTGGTTTTATAAAGTCTTAAATTTCCTTAAACCTAAAGCTAACCTGTACTTAACTTAGGTTATTTAAAAGGCATTTTAGCAACAGCTTCTCTAAATGTGGACAATAGAAATTGTGGTAATAATAATAATCCCATCAAATAATGCAAACTTGCCAAAACATTCACAAAATATGCATGGAATTTCCTCAAAAATGTATTTAAACTCAAACGGGAACATTACTTTTAAGTGGTGTATAATAAATGCTTTAAAGCAAAAAAGAAAAAAGAAAAGAAAGATTTTTGACACCAGGTTAGAATCAATGTGCTGATGGAGCTTTTAACCACTAGATGGCAGCGCTGTTCTATTCAGCACTCTGATTTTGGGCTGATGTGATCCGGAGCAACTTTTCAGAGGTAGAATAAGCATCGTTTTCAATTTTTTTTTTAAACTCATTAACATTAGAAAAGCTCACGGCTGCCTGCAAATGCGTGAAATGATGTGTGAGCAATGTTAATGTGAGATAAGAAAGCTGATAGTTTTATTTTCACACAGTACAATAGTGTGAAACACAATCAGCTGCTACATAAAAACACAACAGGCAGCAAATACATCTTGTTATCTTTACACATCTTTTTATCTTCTCTTTATCACCTTGTATATCGACATCTTGGGATATACGTTTGAATAATTTGAAGAATATGTTGCGGGTTTTTAGTGTCGGATGGCGTTGTTGCCACAGTCACAGTCATTGTTGTCCCAGTCATTTAGCTGTGAGAAGGGAAACCAAATATAAACAGTGGTGCTATAAAGCTAAGTGCCATTGTCACCCAGCTTTTCAAACTCACACTATCATGATGAACAACACACCGCGGCCTGTCCTCACATGTGCTTCGCTCGCTGTCTGGGAGCACTGAACTGAGGATTGTACAATTATGGGATATCTTCTGTCTTTATTAAACACATAAACTATAGACCGTGCATGAATATGTTTATTACAATCTGAAGGAGTCTGTGAGCAGGAAATGAAGCAAATGGAGAGGGTGATCAAAATAGAAAGGAGACTTGGATATTAAGGAGCTTTGAGGCATGCAATACTGATAAGACACACACACACACACACACACACACACACACACACACACGCAGCCACTTAAAATCAATCCGATCAGAACCCTTGGAACATCCAAGTCCGGACTGAGAGGAGGCTACAAAGATCCCTTTTGGAGGCAATTAAGATAACACTGACTGCAGGGTCTGCAGAGATACACGTTTAACTGAGTTTTCGTCTCAGAGTCCCTGTGATGAATTCGATTTCAGTTCCTCCACGGGACCATCAGACGGAGGCTGACATTTGAGCTCACGAGGAGGTTGAATGTTTACAGCACACGCACGTAAAGCCGCCGCGTTATGAGCGTCTGCGCTCACTGATGATATACCCGGGAGGAGCACTGCTTCGGTTCTTAAATGTCAGACGGCCCGCAGACGCTGTTGAATGGAAGATAAGGAGAGGAAAGGCAGAGGAGGAGACAGAGTTTTTAAAGTGCAGAAGAGGAGTCGTGTCCTTGCTGATGTCACTGTTTGAACTCATTAAGCTGTCAAAAAGTGATGAGATACCTGCAGTCAGCATGAGAGAGGAAATGTTTGAGGTTCTGAAGCTTCAGTAGTTAGGAGGCCACTCTGGATTATTTTCCCCTTCACTTTCTCCTGTTTCCAATCAGCAGATTTCAGCACAGACATTTTTACTGCCTGGTTATGGATGTCTTTTTTCCAACCAGTTATTTTGTTTGATGCAGAAACTCTGAATTTTGGACGCTGTTCTGATGCACATTAACAGTGTTTTGCAAGTTACTTTAAAAAATGACATCATAGCCTAGTCATTGAAAATGGTTAGTTGTTGTCTGTGCTCGTACCTGATTCTGGGCTTAAGTTTGACTTAAATTCATACTTGACTGTTTTGCTAAGAGGTTAGTGCATATTTACTATGTTATATGGTTGTAATAACTGTACCTTCAGACAGGTCATGCCTTCCCTGTCTGTTTTTGTATTTTAAAAATGGGCCTTGAAGGTTATTATGCCGTCCCTATGCAGGGATAAGACACAAGTTATTACTCATTGCTTTGCTAGCAGTTAGCCTACCTTCTGAACCATCAGCAACGTTGGCCAAATTGCCAGAATTTGCTCTGGACCAAACCAGCTTATTCCTGAATGTAGGTTTACCCGTGGTTAATGGTAAATTGGCAAACTGAAACAGAACTCGTTTCGCCTTTTCACCCTGCTAACACCACTGACTCTATACAGAGATGGATGAACCCTCCCTGAGGTTTCCTAAAGAGCACTTTTAAAGCTCAGTGTGGTGACTCCTGCCGTCGCCATCTTGGCAGTGCCTGACTCCTCCTATCTCCTGGTTTATTCAAAAATGAGCAGAGGTGGAGCATGAGTGGAGCTGAGGCAGGCCGTACGAACATCTCTGGATCATGGACTGTCCTGTGACAGCAGTCATGTGTCCCTGAAAGTGTCCACGTCCTTAAAAATGCATAAATGTCAGCCTGAGTACAATTTAAATGGGTGGGTTATATAAAAATGTTTCCCCTGTGCAGTTGTTGCAAACAGTGAAATTAGTTATAGACATTTTTTTGTACCAAGCTGTAAACGTGTACATCTGCTGTGAGGTTAGACATTTTGACATGGGGGCTTTGGGGGATTGACTCGCTTTTGGAGGCAGCGTCAAGTGGACGTTTGAGGAACTGCAGTTTTTAGCAGCTTTTTTGACTTAATTTTTTATCCCTTGAGGCTGCAGACTGGCTGACATGTCCTGGGTCAGACAGAACATTAACAGAAAAAGTTACTATAGGTGAGCATGTTCAAATTATATCCGCTTGCACCACGCGTTCCAAAAAAGTAAGCGCACAAGATTCTCAGATATTTCTTTCCTGCACGACAGAAGATCCTGATTTACACAGAAAGAAGACAACTTCCAGAAAGAAGCCTTGATAACTGCCCCTTTGCCTTCTATTAGCTGCCACAGGCAGGGAGTTAATTTCATGCTTTGTAGCTGAGAAAAAAAAATAGAAATGTAGACACTGAAATATACAAATAATGCTTTTTTTCACAGCTGCTTGCTTAATGTAACAGAGGACTGTTTGTTCTTTTACATACGCAACTACTGCCAACAGGTGGTTAGCTTATCATAAAGGCCGTGAGCAGGTGGACACAACTGGGCTCGCTCCGTCCTGCCATTAAAGCACAACTTTCTACATCACAAGGCTGAACTTTAAGTACAGTTAAGCACTGCTGGCCTAACAAACTGTCACAGAGGTTACGCTGAGCACTGCGCGCTCGTGTCCTTCAGGCTAAGTCCTTTATAAATAATGTGCCCGATGATTGGGGTGTGTGAATTGGTTGGGGCTTAACTTTCTAAGACCTCTGTGCTGCTTATTATTGGCAGAGAGAAAGAGCAATTGTAGTTACACAAACAAACAATAGCATTACAGATTAACAGCACAGCTACTTGCAGCCGGTTACAACTACACACTGAAGAAATGACAAGCTATGGCATGTAGTGTCTAGA